GCCCATGACGTAGGTCGAACCACCACGAGTTATCTGTCTGGCCTTTGGTGAAGTCTTCCACTTCCTTTTGGGATACACCGTACTTGGACAGTGGTCCGGTATATCGACCAAGGGCATCTTCACTCGTTCCACCTGGAAGCCTGTCAGAATGGAACAGGACCAATGGCGAAAGGTCCTTGGGTTGGCTAACTGGAGTAGCAGCAAGTCCTGATGACTGGTCTTCGACTTCCCAGAAATGGAAGAACCCACAGTTCTTGGCTGATGCCTTTCCCGCTGCTAATGCCTCCTGCAAGGTGAGTGCGTCAGCAGATGTGACTTGGCGGTGTGACGGTGCACGGGGATCAAACTCCGCTCGCAGCTGCTTCCTCTCCACTTCATCATCAGTCATGCCATGGCAAGCTTTCACAAACTCCATATTGGCGAGTGGCTGAGGATCGACATGCTTCTTTGGAGGCTGATTCCAGCGCATAGGTTGTGACGTTTTAGACAACTCCACGGGTAGCTCCACTAGATTCCTTTTTGCAGCGGATTCAATGAAGAAGAGTAGGGCAGCAACATGATTGCACGCCTCTCCCAGCCTAACATAAACAACAACCGCACACGCACACCATGCACGGGAGACAACAAATATATGCCAACGTCAGATAGAGCTGTCAGAACTCATCACATCACAAACTTGTTGAACAAAGAAGTTATTATAACAATCATCTGCAAAATACATGTCACTACAAAGGAACTATCACAGCACAGGTAAGGAGGAAGAGTTATAATAGGATTTATCAGTGCCGCAGGTCAACTGTCACATTTGGACTGAAGAAAACACACCAACTCGTAGTGCGTTTCTGTGAAAACACTTACCCGGCAATACAGCTGCATTGCGCAGCGTAGACTTCACCAGTCTCAGTGTTCAACGACACATACACGGTGAGCGGTGTATCACACGACAAGGAATGGTGGACGTAAGCACGGAGATAGGAGATTGCCACACCGTTCTCCCCAGATGCAGGATATTGCTTGCTCCACACATTCTTCACAAAGCCATCGGCAAAAAATTGGTACGCCTTCAAAGACCTGTTGCCAACAAAATTTCCAAAGACACATTTGGAGAAAAGAGACAATATTAGGGATGTGCAATTCAGGGGTTCCCTAGCTGAATTCCTTCACTGATTAGACATTGATGGCAACTGATTCGAAAATGCTAGTTGACCTCAGTTACAGTAGGTCTTTCAACAAAACTTGACACACACTGACTTTGTCTTGAGAGATTACGAATTCAAACTGCCTACTATCACAACGTACCCACACCGCCCATGTTCATTACTCACCTAAATGCCTTCATGCTCTCCATATCAAACGTCTTGTCTCGTCCATAGACCAAGTACGTCAATAAATCCATGAAGTGGAACCGCACCACAGCAGCACGAAACTCCTTGCACCAGTCTTGCACCTCGTTGAAACGAGGCAACGAAGACAAAGTGCCCCGAACGTCTTGAGTTATATACTGCAGTCCAACGGAAGCACCAGAGGACGACGCATCAGCAGCACCAGCCAAACCAATCTTGGACATCGACACCAAGCGCTCCACGATGTCAGCCTTCTTTGTTGCTCCAGTCAACCGAACATCCAGAAATTTGGCAATTTCCTTCAGTTCGGCCACCTTCAGCGTCGCAAGAGAAGTCTGAACCCCAACAAAATCGGCATCGCTGGCTTCGGACCCTTTTGAAAGTTGTTCAGCAAGGACAGCCAGTGGCTGAGGCAAGGGTGGTGGCTGCTCAGCGGCAGCAGAGTCAGGGATGACAGCAGACATTGTTGCTTCCTGGTTGAAAAATTACTTTCACTGCAGTTTGGGCTGAACTTCTTGCCCACCAAACATTTTTGCACGTCACCCGTTGCCATGCAACGCGCACTGTGTTCTATCCGGAAAGGGGTCTATACCGTGCACGCGTGGACCGCGGCGTGGTAGACCGAAGACTACATACATGTACAAGCACAACACTCGCCACCACGGTATACCCCGGTAGGCCTCGACCAAATATGCTTGCGCATATTTCCGCATATTTTGTGAGACAGTTCATATAATTATGGCATATTGAGCGACAAAGGGAATATTGGAATGAAGCCAGCATATAATTCAAATATTCTGAAGAAAATGAGGACAAAATATTCATATTACGGAGGATTAGCAAGACGAAATTCGCGTTCGCAAACATTTTTCAGTTCGCGAACTGGATTGCGAACTTTCGCATTTTTCGTTCGGAAAAGTAGTCGGAACACGAATCGTGGATTCGTGTCAGGGCAGTCATAAATTTACCACGCTGTACTGCCTACGTCGTGTCAACATCATGCATGTGCGAATTCTGTTTGCTAATCCTTCTCATAACGCGAATTCCGTCACTGTGTTCGACTTTCTTTGGAGAGCGAACGCGAACGCGAATTTCGTCTTGCTAATCCTCCGTATTATGGACAAAATGCGTTCAGAAATGCCTTTTATGGATGAATTGGGAATGGTTGAGGCGTTTGCTACATTTCCCCATGGATGAACACTATCGCTACTGTTGCTGCGGACCATTGCGCGAAATCACGCGACATCTGTACATTTTCGATCTGCGGGATGAAGATGACGACGTCCATGCATCAGGTATCAAGGGGTAGTAAGATACTGGTATCTTACTACTCCACGCCTCAAATCGTGCTGTCAAGCGTACAGTCGGTGCGCCAAGTTCAAAAAAGTCGTCTAAAAGTTGCACTTTTATTTGCAACCGCGGGAAATTTGAAGACGAATTTAGTGACATACCGAATTCTTCTCAATTTTCGACAATTGGTTACCTTGAGAATACAGGCTTATCCTCCTATATCGATTGCTTTTGCGTCGAGGACCCTCGGTCATTCGCAACGCTGTCACCTCCAAACCAACTAGTCGCAAGCCCGCGCTGGGCACAACAGTACGAAGTAGTGGTTGCGACTTCGGCGATGATTTGTAAGAAAGGTTTGCTCCCCACACCGGAGCTCGCGCTATTCCGCCGACTTTACTTGACACTTTGTCTGTCTCACCGTCCAGGAGCGACACTGACTCACGCTGCTATCTGGTGTTCACGAGGTGTTTGTCACGCTGGAAGCGGAGCATCTCTGTCAGTTTGTATCCCTGGTGATGTTTGTGCCTGGAGAGCACTATATAAGTGGTGCTCTTCAGGCACAATCTTCCTCAGCCTACTCAAGCTCAACTGATGAGGGGTGAATTCCCCGAAACACTGTGTATTGAGCAGGGAGTGGTGCTTTCTTGCAGGTTTGCCGAGTCGAAGGTTCGATGGACTTCTCGTGTGCTCTGGATGACAGTCGTGAGTCAGTCAAGTGTCAAGTAAAGTCGGCGGAATAGCGCGAGCTCCGGTGTGGGGAGCAAACCTTTCTTACAAATCATCGCCGAAGTCGCAACCACTACTTCGTAATAAAGTATTATGTCTCCTTTATTCACTTCTTTCGAAGGCGATAAGCCAGACCCACCGGGAAATATTTCCATGGGTGGGACAGCAAAAAATAAAAAGTGAAATATAAAAAGCCAAAAACCAAAGGGACAAGAAATAGGAAGGAAGAGGAAGAAAGGAAAGAAACTCAATCCAAACTCCAACATCAAAACAATGATAAAGAATTTGCAACGACATGTATTGGACAAAGACAGGTATTGTACAAATGATCAGGACGTTGATGTTGTTATGGGGATTACAAAGGAAATAACATTATCTTCATCAGTCGTATATCATTATTACTATTATTATTCAAAGTAGTTTGGAGGCGGTGGGAAAAACAGTTTCGTAATACGTATTCGCATGCAACGACGCAAATCCACACAATTCAGTAGACACTTTTTCTATCAAACGTTTTCTTTCCCTTCTCTTCAGGATAGTACAGGGAATGTTGGAAATTAGAAAAAAACACATAACTATAATAGATAATGAAAGAAAGAAAAAGTCAACACTTCAACATAGGTGTTAAAATGATTAAAGTGTTAAAACTCAAAAACAAACAGCTGCAAGTTGTAGACAAACACGTTGAACACATCAGGGAACACTTGTCACACTTTCACGAGGTGTGACACCAAACAACTGCAACGATAACACATTCTCCTTCTGTACACATAGTTCTGGATCTAGTTTACGAATATACAGAGCTTCTAACACAGCAAGATGTAACTTAGACCTTCCACGAGTCAAGGTGACAGAGCTAAGTGATCGGACATCGTCCATCAAGCGTCATTTGTCGGGCAGTGCTAGTTGTCGTAAGTTGTATAGTGATGATATCTTTTCGATTTTGACTCGTGGAAGGTCTAAGTTACATCTTGCTGTGTTAGAAGCTCTGCATATTCGTAAACTAGATCCAGAACTATGTGTACAGAAGGAGAATGTGTTATCGTTGCAGTTGTTTGGTGTCACACCTCGTGAAAGTGTGACAAGTGTTCCCTGATGTGTTCAACGTGTTTGTCTACAACTTGCAGCTGTTTGTTTTTGAGTTTTAACACTTTAATCATTTTAACACCTATGTTGAAGTGTTGACTTTTTCTTTCTTTCATTATCTATATACAGCTGTAGTTATGTGTTTTTTTCTAATTTCCAACATTCCCTGTACTATCCTGAAGAGAAGGGAAAGAAAACGTTTGATAGAAAAAGTGTCTACTGAATTGTGTGGATTTGCGTCGTTGCATGCGAATACGTATTACGAAACTATTATTCAAAGTGTTAGGAAATTTGAGGCCTAAAATGCCACGCACTGCTCTTTTCTCTCCGAAACTCAACACTTGCAAGCCAGATATGAAAGAAAGAAAAATCATCAGTCACGCCACCGGGACTCGAACCAGGAACCTTGCTATTCGCGAGCAATGCTCTAACCAACTGAGCTACAGTATGACTCGTACCCACAGTGATGGTAAATCTATCCTTCTGGCTTGCAAGTGTTGAGTTTCGGAGAGAAAAGAGCAGTACGTGGCATGTGGCCTCAATTTTCCGAACACTTAGGGTGCGTTTGGTTGGTACGATCTAGAACAGGATCGAACAGCTGGTGCACATGGAGCAGCCTCATGCCAACCAAACGGTACTCCAGAAACAGAGCACATTTTCGTGGAAAAATGTTTGAAACTTGAAAATGTGTATGGGTCACCATGGTCACTTTGTACGGTACAACGAGTCCAACCCAAAAGCGTATGCACGTGATCATTTGGGACCAAAATCGATGTTCCCGCCAGGTTTCACTGTGAAAAAGTGAAACTGCTCGGTCTGCTCTGGCCTCGAGGCCGGAGCAAGCAGAACATGTTCTGGCCGACCCAGAACAGGTGCAGTCCCAACCAAACGCGCTGTTCTGGTGAATCCTGTTCTAGTTCGTACCAACCAAACGCGCCCTTAGACAAATTCTCCGTGAAGTCCAAATTGAAATTGCAATTTTTATTATTATTATTATAGGTGTAGAAAGGAAAAGGAAATAATTATAGATACGAGTTGAGAGTAACTCTCCATCACTGTAACCAGATACTATAATTATACAGTCAGAAAGTGCAACAACCAGGCACAACACTGACATGTCGAACATGTCGAATGTCTCAGTACTCTGTCAGTTTTGTGCCTGGTTGTTGCACTTTCTGACTGTATATTATAGTATCTGGTTACAGTGATGGAGAGTTACTCTCAACTCGTATCTATACAGTGTATTTCCTTTTCCTTTCTACACTTATTATTGGCTCAACATCCGAGTTTCAAATTATTATTATAATTATTATTACTACTACGTTGAAGTACCGGTATACCAGGTATACCCTGCTACACACAGACAAGTCTAGTCTACAGCTTTTCGTCGCGGTTCCTTCGATCTCGCCTCTTCTATCTCGGTAGGCTGCCCAGTGCTGCTGGCTGGTAGCTCAGTAAGCTCACTCACGCTCGTAGCTGTGTTGATGTCAGTGATGAGGGCAGGCGCTAGGCCAGGCCCAAACAGCTAGCTTGCGGTCTACCTTTTCTGGTATGTTTCATGCATGTTTGGTATGTGGATAAAGAAATAGACCAGAATTCAAGGTAGTGCCTGCCATAAGAATTGTATGGTTCTGCCAACTTCACCGTTTTTTAGCAGAATCTGCCCATTTTGCGAGCATTATCCGCCAAGGGCTAAATTGTAGAGTAACCATGACATTTCCTCATGACAATCATCAATGGTTTTCATCACTTTAAAAAAAGCGAATACCACACAAAAGTGAATGTACAAAAGCTGACTAAAAAACTACATGTAGCACCTAAAGTGGAGCAGTGCTGCTGCACCATGGTAAACGAAGAGTGATAAACGTTAACGTTAACGTTAACGTTAACGGTTTAGAAAAGTAAAGTAAAAGCCACTCACACAAGGACATCGATATGAGGGTGACGGAAATCATCAGCAAAGTTGAAGTGAAAAAAGGAGAGGCAAGACTATTGCGATTGTCCTATTCAGCACAAGATAGCTTTTCTCTCAAGGAACGCACGTCTGTTACTAAAATCATATAGCACAATTGTGCTGGTTGCCACCACCAACAGTTTGATCCAGCTGGCCAGGGAGTAGTACAATAATCCCTGGTTGGACTACAACATAACATTGTACCTGGGAGTAGTACGAGTACTACAAGTATACTGCATTGTACTTCTACCTAGTCCAAAATGACATCGCGAACTGAGGAGAAAATGCTCCTTCTGGACTGCTCAGTTTCCGCTCCTAGCGGCGTCCGCAATTCGTAAGTGTGCTCCCCCCCCCCCGCCCCCCCCCCCCCCCGGCCAATTGTCTCGCCGGGGATCAAGGCGCACATCACGCACCATGGGGGAGACAAGTGAGATTGTGAGAGAAAGAGAGAGAGAAAGAGAGGGAGAAAGAGAGAGAGAAAGAGAGAGAGAAAGAGAGAGAGAAAGAGAGAGAGAAAGAGAGAGAGAAAGAGAGAGAGAAAGAGAGAGAGAAAGAGAGAGAGAAAGAGAGAGAGAGAGAGAGAGAGAGAGAGAGAGAGAGAGAGAGAGAGAGAGAGAGGAGAGAAAGAGAGAGAGAGAGAGCGAGAGAGAGAGAGAGAGAGAGAGAGAGAGAGAGAGAGAGAGAGAGAGGAGAGAAAGAGAGAGAGAGAGTTTAAAATCATTTTCACGTGTACGTACATGTATGACTAAGGACCTAACCACCGACCTGCATGGATTGGTCGGTTATCGCCGTTGCTGCCGATCACGATAGAACCCAATGGTCGCCTCCATAGCCTTCTCTGGTGTGATCGGAGGCTGGAAGTTGAATACATGGCGAAACCAACGGTCACTGTATGTGTGCGGAATTCTCATTAGCCGTGCTCTAGACGGGGTCAGTGTAAATCCAGCTGGATTCAACGGCAGAAGCTGTGAACCAATCGTGAACATCAGCTCTAGAACATGCGCCAGTAGCAATAGAACTATGGATGGGATTGGTACAGGAAACAGGGAATATCCGAGACTCTTCAGGATCGGGCTACAGAACTCAGTTATGCTCTTTGGCTCTGTGTCATCTCCAACGAAGAACGCCTTTCCCGCCGCACGGTCAGGGTCTCGCGCTAGCCTCTCAGCAGCCACCGCAAAGGCTTCCGCCACGTTACCAACGTATCCTGCTCGCACGCGTACAGGGTCGAGGAAGTTGGGAGCGTATCCGAAGCAGGCCTTGACGGAATCAATCAGCGGAGTTACACAATATGGATCACCTTCACCGTACATCGGTGGGCAACGGAGAACACATGTCCGCAGCACACCAACGCCACGGCCGCCCTTCGACTTGCCATCATACGAGATCATAAGACGTTCTGCAAGGTTCTTGGTGCGAGCATACTCTCCTATGGTGGCTGTGGGTTCTGGAAGAGGGGTTGACTCGTCTTTGTCTGGTACGTCCACGTCCGTGATGGTTGCTGCAACGGTACCTGCGTATAGAACACAGCGAGGCGTGCTGTTGCCTTGACTACACACTCTAAGTATGCACTCGGTGCCACCGACGTTGATCGCCTCCACTGCGGCTGGCGACATGAATCCCTCCGATACGACGGATACTGTGTGTATCACGACATCTGCTCCGCGGACCGCTCGTTGCACATCCTCAGTGTTAGTCACACTGCCCTTCATCCACGCTATCGTTTTCTGCGCGTCCCCTTCACCGGACTCGGAGATGGTGAGTGACTCGGAGCACAGCAGATCCAGCACGCGAACCTCGCGCACCCACTCCTTAGTGAGTAGAGCCTGGACGATTCTGCTGCCCAGGAATCCAGCGCCTCCCGTCACCAGTATAACCAGATCGTGGTCGTCATCCTTGTAGCTGAGGCTGCGACGACTAATGTTACTTGCAGCAGTATCCATCTCTGAGATACAGCGTGTTGCTCAGTACAATTCACACAAGGTACGGTCAGTGGCAACACACCTACCGATGATTACTGCAGTACGGTCAAGGTATGCAGGCCGTGGCAAAGCAATTCAGCCCAGGCTAACCGAGCAATGGGAAACTAGCTAAAGCCACGTCAGCTGTAGGTAACTGCTGCTCGCTGAGATCAAAGAACTGAAGCGATTGTGTGTTCCTGCGACTACTTGTGATCCTGACCTCAGTGCTTTCAGCTACTAACTACATGTACTTGTACCACTCTGTAGTAGTAAATGACACCGGGTCCTCGTAAGTTCGTCCCCAGGTCCTAATCTTCAATGTCGTTTATCACACACTCACGCACACACCTAAAGAAAACACGGATAGAGTGTGAAGAAGAGTATAGCGAGATAGAGAGCGGTGGAAGGAGAGCCGCTGGACAGCTGGATAGAGTATCAATAAGCGCACGAGGGGAAGGCTAGACAGTTACACCTTGGCCTTACACATGCCCTTCGCCGAAGTATTGGGGGTGGTTTTGTTTCTTCATGTAGTATCCCCTCCTTTTTGTTGATGAATGAACTCTCTATCATCCCATGTTACTCCTCACACGATTTCAGAATGTACTCTCTATCATCCCATGTTACTCCTCACACGATTTCAGGGGTGTTTTCAGCAGTACAGTTCGGCTTGATGGCGCTTACCTTCCCCTCTTTGGAATTATCGAATTATCACTTATATCCATGAACCCTCCAAGTTGGAAGGCCGTTGGTTAGCGCTATCGAGCAGTGCTCAAGCTCGCGTCCTTGTCATGGAATGTCTCAGTATTCCGTGTCAGTCTGGTGCTACCTTGTGCACGTCTGACTGTTCAAAATCTGGTTTAGTTGGTGGACTCGAACGCATCATGAACTTGTGCCCCGCCGTTTTCCTCATTTCCATTAAAAAATATTTTCCTTGACTCACCATCTGAGTACTTCCTACTACATGTACAATCATTATTGTTGCTTTTCTTAAGATGAATGGACCACCTACAATGCTGGCAACTGAAATCCGACCCCCGAGCGGTGCGTTCACATTCTAGCGATCTCTATTTCGTGGTTTTACTATCCCGTGTTGGGTCTTTGCGATTTGAGCGCACCCGCGGCTCAGTGGTCGGATTTCAGTTGCCAGCACTGTACATTGTACATTGTAAGTACAGTCAAGTACATGTACCTGTACCAGACAGTAGCCCTCGGCGGATATCATGACATGCATATTGCTCGACTGAAAAGTGGCAGATTCTGCTGGAAAAGCAGTGTCTGGCAGTGAAATTGGAAGAACCATACAAACCGTACGCTTTTGGCGGGTACTTCCTTGAATTCTGCTCCATTTGGCTTTATCCCCATACCAGACATGCATGAAACATACCAGAAAAGTAACAAATATTAATTCTGCCAATTTTTCCGCCAATAGTCCGTGAGTCAAATCTCCAAATCAGCCGTTTTCACAACGACCACACTCTGAGAGGGAGAACTCGTCCTTCAGCACACCGCTTCAGGCTAGTATCCTCAATCGATTTCCACTGGTTGTACAAGTCAAAACTAATTCAGGGAGGCCAACGAAGAGGCCAAACATCTAGCTGTTGTCGCGAGCTGCAGCGACCATTTTTCACCGTCTTCCCTTGATTCCCCCCCCCCACCCCTGTTATTAGTTCACACTTCTCTTGGCTTTCGCACTTCACCTTCTTTTCTCCTGTTTTCTTTCACATACTGCATTTCGTACTCTTCCCTTGATTTGTTGGCGTTTATTTATGGATTTCAAGTAGTTCTTTCTTTGAAGACCTGAGCCACGAGTGCACAGTGCACATGCATGTACACGGTACTGTAATGCAGAAACCAATGCACAGAACAAGGTCAAGGGCTATGACCCCTATGGGCCTATGTCCCGGTACCTGGGGTGGGGGGGGGGGGAGGATGATGTAATTAATGCTGCACGACATAGTGTTTTTTCTCTCGTTTTTTTTGCGTTTTTTCACACATACAATTGTTTTCATTTTTTGGTGTTGTGTTCTCGCCATGCCACTGTCAAATTATTGTATTCTGTTTGCCCGTAAAAGAGGCCTTTTTTACTGCATGATCAGGGAATCGGCCTGCTCACGATACCCTTTACTTTGTCATCATCATCACTCAGCACAATAATGTGTATCAGTGAAAGTTAGTTACTTCTTTTGTTGATAGGGAAGATCCAGAGATTTACATGTAGATTCTCAATTTCTCACCATGGCGAGTACGAGTGCAGGGAATCGTCATGCTCTTCTCAATAGTTTGGGCACCTACATTTTGTTCTACATCTAGACTACAGCCTCCCCGGGAAGTTCGCGGATAGGCTCGCAGCACCGCTCAGCAGTACTAGTAATACTATTACTAATAGTATCAAGACTTTGTCAAGAGTATAACTCCCTGGAGCTTATTCTTGCCAGTAAGTAAAGTAGTATACTACGGAGGGATGTTGTGCCTATGCCTATGGCTATGGTGCTGGACATCATATCGGGTATGAGTCGTCTACTGCGCCCAGTGCCATGCCTAGCGGCTAGCGAGCTAGCCAGCTGCAGTGCAGTGACCATGGTGACGCAATCATGCTATGAGTATGATGATCCCGACTTCTTTCGCGCAAGGTTGACGGGCCCGTCTTCCCCCCAGATGAAACAGATGAAACGAGATGAAACGAGATGAAACGAGATGAAACAAGATGAAACAAGATGAAACGCCAATGTACAGGCGCAGATGGGGCCGAGATGAAACGAAATGAAACAAAATGAAACAAGATGAAACAAGATGAAACAAGATGAAACCAAATGAAACTCGAAGTACGGGCGTAGATGGGCCGCGAATGAAACAAGATGAAACAAGATGAAACAATGTACGGGCGGAGATGGGCCGCGCGCAGTGCACCCGGCGTGACGTGCATGCACGAGCGAAAAGAACTGAATTAATCCAATCATTGAAATAATTTTGTTTGCAGAGGCAATTCGCGCAAGGGAGGTATAGGAATTTGATGGCTTGCGAGTGACAGCACGAGCCGAATTTATTGCCCGTGGAAGTACCCACGATAGGAATACACTGTTGGGAACATGGTGGCGCCGCTGACGGTACCTATGTAAGTGGAATTACTTTATTGGAAGTACCCACGACGGGGAAAATAGTCTCTCTAGTATTGTCGGTGAATGGTGATGGTGGTGGTGGCGATGGCTACTTTCCTCTGCTCAGAGAGAACCCCTGCATGTCCTTCGTCGTGATGCGAAAGAGCAGTGGATGCAGGTAAAGGCCGTGTCAGAGAATTTCGCCTAGTGCTGTGGCCAGGGTGAAAATAAATTAGGGCTGAAACGATCATTCAATAACTCCAAGCGATCAACCAATCTCTTTAGCGATGAATATCATTGTAACATAGAAAAATGTGGGCACAAGTTATGCAATCGAGTCCACCAACTAAACCAGATTTCGAATAGTCAGACGTGCACAATCTAGCACAAAACTGACAAGGAGTATGAGTACTGAGACATTGAGATCAATTATAATTGTTGGTTCATAATTATAGATTCTTTCCGGCTGTAGTCGTGCACCTCGAACACAAGACTATGAAGAAATTCCATGATGCCTTTGCTACATTAGCTGTGGCCACCAGTCAAACGCTCTAAATATACCCAGGCTACCGCTCAGTGTTTGGTATTCTGTAAACATTTCAGGCAATTGTGTCGACACCTGTAGACATCTGACTGGTCTAAAGCCTAGTTCACATTCGACGTAACACTGACGGTACAGGACGTAAGGGCCTGTCGGGACGGCTGGGGTGAGCTGTAAAATCTTTTACGATTCGTACGACACGACATGCTGCAGTCGTTGCGATGTTCTCCAGCGAACGGCGCGAGTCATAAGGCACAGTCCGTGACGGGGTGACTTTCGGACCTAATTTCTTGTTTTTCGGGACTTCTTTTCAATAATTTCTCCTTGAATGAAGCGAAATCAAATTCACAATACCAGTTTTTCATGGAGACAAAAAAGTAGCCCTGAAAGTTGTGCCATTCGAATAGTAGCCCTAGGAAATGATAAAACAGTTCATCTGTCATTCTCCTAAACTATCCCTAAATACCATAAGTGACATGAGATCTTATCTTGCTAAAATTCAACTCAAGTCGTGTTAGCCATTCTGCGAGTTATCATGGGAAGCGCAGTGTTCGAAATCCTAAAAATTTCCCAGTACGAATCGGGAGTGGATGGCGCACGACGCCGCCTCCTGTTCTCACTCAAAATGCAGCCGTTTTGTACGCTTGCGTCTCCGTCTATGCCCGTCTACGGTATGAAAAGTTGAACTGATCCAACACTTCCCGTCGCTTCCCGATCCGTACGGTAGTATGGTTGCGTTCCCGTTCCTGGTGTTCACATTGGACGCCGTCAGACCGTCCTGTCGCTTCCCATCGATCCTTACGCCGCGTCCCGTCGAATTTGAACGAGGCTTTATCAATATGAACTAGAGGAGTTCATGTTGTTGTTTCTAGAACGAAGAATCAGGCTTGTCGTCACCCTTTGGCTTGAAGCTCTTATCACCAACTTCCGCAACGAATCAATCGAAAAGATACCGTCTTGACTCCCGATCTCTTTCATAGCCACGCATCAATATTACTGCGCTTGAAAGTACACGATTGCACTCGTATCCACAATTGGATGGAGTGCAAGGGCTAGAATACTGCCACTGGTATGCATGCATAAAAAATCGTTTGCATTCGCTTTGAACACTAACGATTATCGATTGCGCTCTTAAAACGATCGGTTTGCGAGTTATCTGTATACTTGTTTCAGCCCTAAATGCATTGCCCTCGTAGAGGACAGGGATGAGCAGTGATATGAGCAGGGATGTGAGTACTGATGTGCCTTTCGTCCTCATATTTTACAGAGAAGACGTCTGCCCCCAATAATAAAATTAATGTAGTAATGATAATGTGTTGCCCTTTCATCTTCTCAGGAGCCCTATGCCTTTGCCTCTTCTCCCCTGGACTGAATGGACTGGACGCTCTGTCCAGTAGTGTCCAGTAAATGATTTGTAGTGTAAGTTAGGGTGCACTCTCTCTTGAGGATTTGCCCACCTTGATGATTGTGCTCTTCGTGTTATTAGAAAATGTCTCTACCTGCCAGGATGGTATAAGAGCACGAACTGAATCACCTGTTGGTGCAGAAGGCTTGGAGGACTGCTTTTGAAACAGTTGTTCAAATTTCCTGCACCTCTTCGTAGCCGTTGTCTGATTGCTGCATTCTGGGGAGACTGAAGTTAAGGTTAGTGAAGCTGCACAGTCCCCGTGGAAATGTTTATGCTGCAACTATTTACTGCTGACATGTATTTATGTATTTCAGGAATCTCCAGAGGGTGAAGGCTTGCTGCAAGCTCCGTCCCTTCAATGTCGTGATACATCCGTAGATCAGTCGTGTGCCTGTCCTGTGCTTTTATGAGCATGCTCCTTTGCACATGCCTTTGTCCTGTGCATGCGTGGGCGTGGGCGCGCGCGCGCGCGCGTGTGTGTGTGTGTGTGTGTGTGTGTGTGTGTGTGTGTGTGTACGCCAACGACACCGTCCGTGCACATGTGCATGGACGTGAGTTTGTGCGTTTGCCTTTGTTATATGCATACAGTATTATCAATTTATCATGCCTATACAAGCCTTGCCAGTGTCTCGATAGGAGAAGCAGATACATGATTACACCACTTGGGTTTTGACCTTCTTTGGCCGGGGCGAATGTCGAAGGAAAGACTCCCTCTGGGCCAAGGTGTTGGCGACAGTTGAGAGTTGTCCTCTATTTTGCAGCGGGGGACAGCATGGCATATTTGGTGCCGGAAAGAGTGCAGTTGCACTTTTCATGTTACTGTAAAATTTGCTAGGTCAATCCCTTGAAGCTGGAGACTGCTGATACTGCTGCTCAAACGGCTGCTGCTGTTACTCTCTGCTGCTACCATGGTCGTTGCTTTGTATCAATGGCGAAAATTCTCAGATGAGCTTTGGGTCCGGGCACTAGAACCCTGCTGCTGCCTCTGCAGCAGTTGTAGAAAGTTTTATAATACCAGTGTCGATGGTGAACTTCTGCTCTTTTTTTTATCCCAGACACTTTGTGCTCAAGAGACTGTTAGGTCTTTGTGGTGTTGTCGTTGCTGTTTGGTTATACTAGTTGGCGTCTGTTTGGAAATATATTGTGCTTTTCTGTGTGTTCATGTGAACGTAGAAGCCCTCACCGAAACCAACACTACGTTGCTGTGTTGTTTTCTTCCAAGGTCGGGCACAGTAAAGGAGACGACTCTGTGAGTATATTCGCAGATGAACTTTGGGTTAATAGAATGCAGGTGCTGCTGCTCTTGTGCCGGGCTGTTGGTGTCAATGATGGGGTGGATCATGCTTTCTCTTTATATACCTTTTGTATATTTGTGTGTAATTAGGAGCACATACCAACACGTAATCTTTCTAAAGCCTAGTTCTCTTTCGACGCAACGCTGACGGTACGGGACGTAAGGGCCTGTGACGGCTGGGGTGAGCTGTAAAATCTTGTACAATTCGTACGACACGACATGCTCCAGTCTTTGCGATGTTCAACAGCGAATGGTGCGAGTCATAAGGCACAGTCCGTGACGGGGTGACCGTCCCGGCGTTTCCCGTCGATTCTTATGTCGCGTCCCGTTGCGCCCCGTCGAATGTGAACTGGGCTTAACAATGGCATGGAGACAGTTTCAATTGCAGTTTAATGTTACTGCACTGCACTGCAGGTATCAAGGCACTACCCAGAGGGAGGATGTTGGCCTTCTCCTGATGGGAAAATGTCTTCTTTCTCATGGCGTGGCCAGGACTGCACTGACCCTACCATCCACTCTACCTCTCCGGAAAGGGACTTGACAACCAGTCAAGATGGATGTGCAGAGATATACCAGCGGTAAGTCACATGCTTAGGATATCCACTTGATGAAGGAAGAACAGGTGCTCAACTACTACACCAAAATGTGAGCATAAGGAGATGGGCTGATGGGTCATGGATGGGTGACAGGTCTTTGCCCGGTTGCTGGAGTATAACAACCTGGGTCTTTGATTGGTTTAGAAGCGGTCCGCTCTATTCGGGGTGCCATCCTCAATTAGACGGGCAGTGAAGATCTTGCAGGATCAATCGCACATGTAGAATATGGACATGTGGATGCGGGCAGCAGATCTGTAATTTCCAGTATCAAAGTTCAGTTGTATTTGCTTTTCTTTATTTTCTATTTGTGATGTTGTTCACTGCAGCTTCTAGCATTAACTGCCAATTTGCACTGACGCAGCAAGACTCCCAACAGTCAAGTATGTTTCATTGCATGCACTAGGATTACAGTAGAATGCCGATTATCCGAATGTCAACTGTCCAAACGGTCAATTATCCGAAATTCCTGTTTGCACTGAATTCAATTCAATAAGTCGACTTATACTGGCAAAATATGGTAACAGCGGGACTGTAGGGTGTAGCATTTCCATGATACAGTGGAAAATTTCACGATTTTTGGTGCAAACATAGCTCGGACGCTGCTCGATTGGATATACAATGCAGGTTCTTGGAACCACGGACACGACTCTTCGATTCAAGGATCACAACACTTCGGGATCTGAACGTTTTAGGTCCGGGAGCTGTTCGCGGTTTTGTCGCTTGTCACGGTTGTGGACTCATCGTTGTAGCATAAATGAGGCTGGACTATTCCAAGCCGAAAACTAAAATATTTCCTTCTCAAAGCACAATCACCGGCCCGGAGGTGCACACCTTCTCTAACTACATACCGGGTGCAGTACATGACACGTCCGTGTATTGACTAGTCTCTTGTACATAATTTTAGATCTACCACACGACTCGCGTAGCGCTAGCACAGCAGTGCGGGTGTAGTCATGTACTACTACTACTACAGTACTGCCGGGCGCCGAAGAACGGACCGCCGATGAACGGCCAGGCTATGATTTCGCTATTTTTTAAGAACGGTCTAGGTAGAAACGTGATGTACAATATGAATATGATGTACACTCAGACGTATAACTCTGCATAAATGTACATGCAAGACTGTACCATCGAATATGAACGAAACTGCTGTGTTCGCCAAAAATAAGAACGGGCTAGGCTAGAACCCTGACCCCGTTCTTCGGCGCCCGGCAGTACTGTAGTGTAATGTTCCGTATGTTTGTTGACTATGGCATGCAGGCAGAAGCCAGCGGATGTAAAAAGTCCAACTCGGAAACGGCTAAAAACGGGGTATCCTCAAATTTTTTTTTAAAAAATTCAGCAGACTTCCCCTCTAATACGTAAGGCAGAACTTATTACAGTCCTTGATTAGAAGTTGATATATTCTTGTACGAATCCGGTGTCTTTTGTGAAAAGTGTATGCAAGCCTTTTAAAAAGCATCTCCCACCAGGCATTCGATCGAATTTTTCATGGCGTGGAGATTTGTTACGGCGTGAACCGATGCTTGGCGTGTAGAATTTGCTTTTTGATGTGTTCTTTGGAAGATGCAGTCTTAAAAATGGTGTGGATGTCTTTGTTTCTGTCCTTCTGCTGTCCTCGTAAAAAGAATAATATAGACGTGCAGAAAATGTAGGAGAGCGATGACATCAGAAGGACACTCTCAGGTTCAGGGTACCTGTACTGCCCCAATAAAGTGGGTCAGATCCCAAAACGAGGTTGGCCGAAGCAAAAAAAATAGAAGAGCCTGCCTTGAACTGAATATGAGGAGGAAGAAGAAGAAGACAAAGAAAGAGAAAGAGTAGGAATTTGTTTGTGTAAACTTTGTTTCCTCTGTCTAGGCTGCCACCGCATTATAGCAGCCAACAGTGCGTGTGTGTGTGTGTGTGTGTGTGTGTGTGTGTGTGTGTTTGCGTTTGTGTGCACACGCTTGTGTGTGTGTTTGCATGTGTGTATATTCTGCTAATCTTGACTTAAATTTCCACATCTGGGCATATTGTGTTCTGTATGTGAATTTATCTTCATTAACTTGTGCGCTACGTTCCTTTCTTCACGTTACGGCACTTTAGTATTGTTTTACTTGAACATCATACTCTCGCCCAACTTTGTTTCACCAACAAAGGTTTATTCTCCAAAGTATTTCTAATTGATTGTGTATGAGTTTCATACTACTGTCAGGAGCGTCGGAATGTTTTTTAGTGTGGTACGGTCAGCCATCTGAAGTACAATTGACTCGTGGGGGAGTGTTGGCTGAGCCGAAAAGTTTGGAATTTTAGATCCCAGATCAGTGTATTTTATTGACTCACGGGTATCTGGGGCAAAAAGTGGTACGGTCAATACCGTAGTGACCGTACCGTGTGCGACGCCCCTGACTGTTGGAATCCACCAGCTGTGTTTCCTTGAGGGGCGTATCCTTACCTTGGATGTGTTTCTCATTCCCGGCAGCAGAAAGAGCTCTACAATATGTATATAATTTAAGAATAGAATTTGATGTACAGGAGAGTGCCAATTATCCCCACCCCTCGGGACGCGGGCTGTCTCCAGGGGGTTCAGATGAGAAGAATGTTCGGATAAGAGAGCAGTCACACATCTATCTAAATCATGCATATTCCAGCATGTTTTCATCATTTTTGTTCTCTTCAGCAGTGAAACAGGAACTAGGTGCACTCATGCTCCTCTAAATTAATGACACTATTATTACACATTTTGACTAAAACCTGTTTTAATACATCTTGTGAATCGCTTCAATGGTGCCCCGAGCGACGAAAATCAACAACTTGAAACTCATCTTCTACCCCTCAATTAAATGCAAGCAATTATTTTGGATAATTAATCATTTGGATAGTTGACATTGGAGGATAATCGGCACATTGTGTGTGATGGGGGGGGGGGAGGGAGGAAGAGGAGGAGGCTGCGAGAGGCCGTGGTGGACGTGTACTTGTGCAGAGCCTGGAAATAGCCTCACTTTAGATGTATGCACATTCAAACGGTGGATGCTTCCCGCCATCCTTTTCCCCCTCTTTTTCCTTTTCCCGCCATTCTTTACCCCCTCTTTTTCAATTTCCCGCTCTTCTTTTCCCCCTCTTTTTCCCCCTTTTTCTCCCCTTTTCCCCCTTTTCTGCGAGAAGATTAGCCCCCTCCTTGCGCAAAGGAAGTTGCTCATTCATCTACATGACTGTGACGTGCAATGCTCCAACAGTTTCGTGCGATGATTAAAAAATATCTGAGTCGGATAGTACCAAGAGTACATAACCCCCCAGAGTGTGCAACGCCTGATCCAGCTCTGTGTAGGGTCTTGGTCGAGCGGAATCGGATCTTTGCGTCATAATACCGTACACATCTGAGGGGAACCCGGGGAGTCGCGGGTACTCTTGGATCAAAAACAATGGTGCCCTGCCTCGAGACCGGCCTTGCGCTGGTGTGAAGTGTACGCATGACATCAGAAGATCCGATTCCGCTCGACCAAGACCCTACACAGAGCTGGATCAGGCGTTGCACACTCTGGGGGGTTATGTACTCTTGATAGTACTGTTGTCATCTGTGAGTCAAAGCACTGCCTGTCCACAGATCGGACCACACACTAATCAGTAAAGAGGATGGAAAAGAATCAAATCAAACGAAACCCGCGGCTCGGCACATCTGCAAGTGAGTATGTAGAGAAAAAAAGGCCTGCGTATGTCGAACACTTGTAGTGGCAAAACAATAATTAATAGCACTGCACTTCACTTCAGGCTAAGTTGTATTGCTGGTACACTATCCACCTGACATTGAAATGCAAAGTCCAGAAGGAGTTGGATAATTCAGCAGGGTCCACACCTTCAACGTCACAATCCGGGCGGCAATGGCTGAACTTCACTAAGAGCAAGGACACATCGTCATCTTCTTTCAATGCTACCAAGTGAATGTCAGACCGTGACCCGACAAATGGTCTGATTGCAGTTGGAACCAGCTGCTGCTTGAGAACAGCCCAGTCGGGGAAAGGGCATCCAAATCACTCAGCACTGAGTCACTATATCTCCACTTCAGCTGCAGCAGCATTCTAGCCCAAAGCAAAGTCCAGCATTGCACTGATGATGTTGACCACTAGGAAGCGTCCAAAGCAGACGGAGATCCAGCCTTGCTCCGCGAGTTCTAGATTGCCAGTGGTGTTGTCGTATTGGGGTGGTATTGAAGATGACAGACAGCTTGAGCAGAATAGCAGCATGGGATATGTACAGCTGAAGAAGGCTGACAGTGACTGTAACCATGTGACAGGCGCCGCAGGTCAGGATGAAACGACAACAGTTGCTTCCTTCAATGACTGATTCCCCTCGACAGCATAATCCAGTGTTCATCCCTTTTGAACACAACAATGGTAGAGCAGCACACAGCAGTAAACATCAGACTGCTAGCGTTAGCAAATTACCATGCCTTACCGAGTTGGAGGGCAGATAGCAGTATTCTGGAGCTTTATCCAGAGAATGGGCGTTCAAGTTATCAATTGACAACCACTCTATTCAGTTGCTATTCACTGCACTCATTGCGCTGAGTTACTTGAAAATTATGAGTTTGAGCCAGACATCCCCCCATGAGGTTTCCAGGGTCGGGTAATACTCCAGGCGGACTATTGACAATAGCAATGACGTGGTTTCCTGAATAAACACCATATAGATGTAAATTTATAGCGCATATGATTTTACGCAAAATCTTTGTAGATTGGGTAAACCCAGACTGTTGGCGAAAAGGGTGGTGTGAACACAATCATGATATATAAAAAAAACTCGGCGAGTAAATTTGGTGTGGAAAATATTGGGCCATTACAAGGCATATTTAGGAAACTTCACTTCTCAACTCCAAACTCCAAAACCGGTCTCTTCACTGTGATTAAAATTGAAATTAAGATTTACATTACACCAAATTTTTGGGCCTGGCTTCGGGCTTTTTGGTGTAATGTAAATCTTAATTTGAATTTGAATCACAGTAAGGAGACCGTTTTGGAGTTTGGAGTTATTATTATTATTATTATTATTATTATTATTATTATTATTAAATTTTGAATAGGGCAGTCCCACAGGCCTAGGGCCTTTTTACAGGGTACCCTATGAATTGTTGAATAGATGAACGGAAGTTTCTGAGCAAGGAGATTGTGCGAATATCAGCAGGAAGCGCGTTCCAACGATCGGAACCAAGAAAGCTAAGCGAGTATAAACCATAGCGGCGAGAAGCTAAAGGAAGACTAAGTGACAAAGTGGACTGAGAGCGTGTATGGGCTGAGGTTTGTGAAGTGGCAGTGCGAGGGAGGAAGCAGGTCGAGAGCAGTGGACTGCATAGCTTATGGAGGGCTCGAAACACCAGTACAAACAGGCGAAATTGATATCTAAGGGAAATAGCAGCGAGATAGTTCCTAGCTAGAACAAGAGAAGCATCGTAGTACTTCGGGTAGCCAAAGACAATCCGAACAGCACGGTTAGATATACGAGTAATGCGGTCCATTTGCGAGACTTGGAGGCTGTGCGCAAATGCATTAGAGCCGTATTCAAGTTGGGCCTGAATGAAGGAACAGTAAAAGACTCGTTTGGCAGCAGGTGTTAGATTGTGTTTGATTTTTCTGAACACAGCAAGTTTAGTGCCTATCTTGCGTTCCAGGAGCGTGATGTGATCTCGGTACGTAAGATGCTCGTCGAACAGGAGGCCGAGGTATTTTATTGTGGCTGAAGGCGGTATGCTAGTGCTATCAATTGACAATTGGAGATTAGCTGGGACAGCCTTGGACTTTGGGCGGAATATGATGAACTGTGTCTTTTCCGCGTTGAGTTTAAGGCCGTGGTCCCGGAGGAAGTTGCGGATTGACAGAACGTCTCTGGCCAAGTCTGCAGTGAGCTTCTGTGGATCCCTTCCGGATTTGTAGACAGAAACATCGTCAGCAAACTGACGGACCTTGGTACTAGCAACACACTCTGGCAGTTTGCGGACAGCAAGATTGAACAAGACAGGTCCAAGGATAGATCCTTGAGGTACACCTCTGGAGGCAGAATAACAGGCACCTCTGCTAGACTTGGTGACAACTCTCTGCTGGCGGTCAGTAAGGTATGATGCAAACCAACGCAGTGCAACCCCTCCCACACCAATCTCGAACAGTTCTTGGAGGAGCAAACTGTGGTTGACAGTGTCGAACGCTTTGGACATGTCGAGGAAAGCCGCAGCCACATACTCGTTCTGGTCTAGACTTTGACTCAGAGTTGAGAAGTGAAATTTCCTAAATGTGTAAGCGGCTGCGTTGGAGTTTGCGGACAATTAGAAAAAGAAAAAATTACAAGCCGTGACATAGTGTACTAAACAAAACTCACCTTTCAATGATGGATATTGGACTATTATCGTCGGTCAGTATCAAGCAGTGAGTATGTGCCAATTATACAAAGTATTTTTTGTTGCTTCGGCAGGACATCCTTGCGCTGTCACAGCTCACCAGTACCCGGACTTTGGGTGGGATTTCTTCCTGACCTGGAAAGAAAGATGTTGGCATAGGGAGACTGAAGTGAAATACTCGAATAGGCTATAACCACATTCCAATCTCAGCTTGAGCCGGTGTACTATAGTAGCATGACCCCCCCCCCGGGTACCCCGGGGCAATCTACTATATAGTACAATGACCGGGGGGGGGGGGGGGGTCGTTCTACTATATAGTAGATTGCCCCCTGTCATTCTACTACAGAGTCCACCAGACTTGTCGTTTCGCACGTGCAGGTAGAAAGGGATGGAGTTTACACCACAGATTCCACGTGGACATTATGGATTGTGGCAAGAGTCCGGGGTTATGTACTCTTGATTGTGGGAATATGTGGTGAAAAGTCCACAACATTTGTACATAGGTCGCGCACTTTTCCTCTTTAGGAGACATGAACATCCCACCTTGTGTTGGATTGTTTTTGTTTTGGAGTTGGAAGAAAGTTTGCAAGTTCAGTGTTCCTTTGCGTTTTCTGTGTGCTCCTTGCTCCTTTTGGATTATTCAGGAGTTCACGGACCTCTACTAAAATAGCGGCCGAGGGGGGTCGTTGTACTATATAGTAGAGTGACCCCGGGGGCAATCTACTATTAAAGTACAATGACCGGGGGGGGGGGGGAGGGGGGGGGGCTTCCACTACGGGGTCATTCTACTATATGACACCGGCAACTGCAAGTCGATGAGCTGAAACCCAAAGAGCACATACCAACCATATCAGGGGCGTCGGAAGGTATTTTAGTGTCACGTGGTACGGTCAGTCATCTGAAGTACAATTTACTCGTGAGGGAAGGGTGGCGGAGCCGAAAAAATTGGAAATTCAGAGCCCAAATCAGTGCATTTTATTGATTCACGGGGTACTTGGGGCAAAGAGTGGTACGGGCAATACCGTAGTGACCGTACCGTGTGCGACGCCCCTGCATATTCCCCAACTGAGTTGCTCTGGTACTCAGGAAATTAATACCTCACTGTGCTCTTACACAGTATGGCCCCGGTGGTATATCGCAAATGTCCTTGCCAACGGTGGTGTTCAGCTGGCAGCAGTGTTACATGCATTGTGGTGATATCAACATTTAATATCACGCCTCTTACGAGACTCGGACTGAGTTTTCCACATCCGCAGGAAGGCCACCACCCGCCAACACCCTGCAGGATCAAGGCGCAGATGCAGCCGCAAAAAGTGATGAAATAATTATCCACGATGCTGTCAAATGGTTCTTTCTTTGTGCTACAAATCTCCTTTCCAGCGCAAGTCTATGCTCTTGGGATTCAATGAAGCGGACATCGTCAGCGATGCTAGCGAGGCAGACTTGGCTGCCACACAGAGATGTGTGGTGAACCTGGAGAGGACTGTGACATGCCATACAGCCGGGACTGCAGGAGGGAGCGCTATGAACCGTTCGTTCAAAAATGTTCCCTATTTGCACGAGTACATAGCGCCTAGTAGGGGGTGGGGGTGGTGGTATTTTAAAGTCTCCTAACGGCCAGGAGCTGTTTAAACATTGTTAGGGCTCGTCCGCGGAGCTCAGAGGGGCTGGCCAAACTGATCGCAATGAAGTAAAATGAACAAAAAAGTTTTTTTTTTAACCAGCCGGCAAAGCATCAAAGCCAGAGTGTTGAGTGCATACCCTGGTTAGTAGTTATCCACTTTGAGGGCCACGCACTCTTGTTACCATGGTTACATGTGCATTCGGTATACCTATACCTGTGCCCGGTAAATGCTGAAGACAAGCGAAATCTTCTGTTTTTCTGTTCTCTTTGTGTTGTACCCGATCTCCCTCTGATGTACCGCTGACTCTACGCTGAAGATCTAAGTGTTTTAATTCTCATTTTTTTCATTTAGACTTTATTTGAAGGATTCTCCAAAAGTAAATGGATACTTATCGGGGGAGTTTCCTGGAAGGGTGGATGAGATTATTCTCATTATAATTTTCATATTCGCTTTCATGTTATTGGGTTCTATGTCCGTTTGAATTTGCGAATCAAAATAAATACAAACAAACAAACATACTGGGTAGTTCTATCGCCACTATAAAATTGGCAGGTCACTATAGCACTGAAAATCGGTGCAGTGCACGTGAAAAGGGTGCCTTAGCTGCACTTGTCTGAAATGGAGAAAAACGATTTGAAGTTTGAACTAATTACTTGCCAACAGTTGTAGTAAAGTAAAAAAAAGAAAATTATCGTGTCCATTCCCGAAACGGCGAAAGGAACTCACAACGGCCGCTAACACCCGGTAAACCCTAGCGGCAGATGCAGCGCCTAACGGTGGGGGTGAGGGGATAAGTTAAGTCTCACAACCACTGGCACAAGTGCCGAGAAACCCCATTCGCCGCATCCATGTACCCCTTGTGCCTGGCCACAAGTTCCCCGTTGGCTGTGGGTAGCAGCACGCCGCGGCTCGAGTGCTTCTGTAGTGTTTCGTCTATGCTAAAGAGCATGTGCTTATACAATGTAAGTGAGAGTGTGCCTATACGGATACAGGCACTCCCTGCATGCACATCTGTGCGTTACTATGGTAATCAGTAGGGCTGAGTCGGATAGCATTTTCTTCGGGTATCGGGTCCGGGTAGTTTTCCACGGGTAGCACGGGTACCCGATCGGGTAATGTTTCCATGGTAAGACCACAATGCACACCGACCCCTCCCCTTACATACTGGGTAGACATGCATGAGTTATTTGTACACGTGCACTGTAGACCTCTCTCTCTACTCTTTCTACATGATGTCATCTGCGACTTCGGGTTTTCGGGTACGATTCAGTACCCGTCTACCCGAGGTCCTCACGGGTACCACGGGTACCCGACTACCCGTGCACCCCACTAGTAATCAGTAATATAAAAACTTGAGGAGCTAACTACGACAAGGGCATGATGTCATTTAACTCATTTTGCATTGTTTTTGCTTATGGCCATGGCTGGCTATCCCCCCCCCCCTCCCCTCTTCCTCCATAATATTGGCCTCTGTTCCCTGGCCAAGGGAAGGTGAAATAAATAGATAACTCGAAACCTCAAATGTTAACCCTAAACACCCCTTTCACGTGCTCTGCACCTACCTAATCCAAGAGAACATAATGGTAAGACATAATCACTCCTTACCAGCATAACTTGAAGACTTTCGGGCTCCTCCACTCAGTCTTTTTCAACGTCAAAACAACAAACTTGTGACTTCAACATTCTGGGTCAATTTTCACAAACCTGGAAAGCTCTTTGCATAAGGAATATAATATCTACACTACAGTTAGTAGAATGGACGAGCAGCAACATAGCATACCCGCCAAACCATGGCTATTATGAGCCAAAACTAATACTAAAAAATAAAAAGTAATAGTAATACTTATTAGAAATAGCGATGCGAACCAGTACGGCAGTAGATCTACAGCATGCTAGCAGAGCGCGCTAGCGGCGTTGCGCAAGGAGGGGGCTAATCTTCTCGCAGAAAAGGGGGAAAAGGGGAGAAAAAGGGGGAAAAAGAGGGGGAAAAGAAGAGCGGGAAATTGAAAAAGAGGGGGTAAAGAATGGCGGGAAAAGGAAAAAGAGGGGGAAAAGGATGGCGGGAAGCATCCACCGTTTGAATGTGCATACATCTAAAGTGAGGCTATTTCCAGGCTCTGCACAAGTACACGTCCACCACGGCCTCTCGCAGCCTCCTCCTCTTCCTCCCTCCCCCCCCCCCCCCCATCACACACAATGTGCCGATTATCCTCCAATGTCAACTATCCAAATGATTAATTATCCAAAATAATTGCTTGCATTTAATTGAGGGGTAGAAGATGAGTTTCAAGTTGTTGATTTTCGTCGCTCGGGGCACCATTGAAGCGATTCACAAGATGTATTAAAACAGGTTTTAGTCAAAATGTGTAATAATAGTGTCATTAATTTAGAGGAGCATGAGTGCACCTAGTTCCTGTTTCACTGCTGAAGAGAACAAAAATGATGAAAACATGCTGGAATATGCATGATTTAGATAGATGTGTGACTGCTCTCTTATCCGAACATTCTTCTCATCTGAACCCCCTGGAGACAGCCCGCGTCCCGAGGGGTGGGGATAATTGGCACTCTCCTGTACATCAAATTCTATTCTTAAATTATATACATATTGTAGAGCTCTTTCTGCTGCCGGGAATGAGAAACACATCCAAGGTAAGGATACGCCCCTCAAGGAAACACAGCTGGTGGATTCCAACAGTCAGGGGCGTCGCACACGGTACGGTCACTACGGTATTGACCGTACCACTTTTTGCCCCAGATACCCGTGAGTCAATAAAATACACTGATCTGGGATCTAAAATTCCAAACTTTTCGGCTCAGCCAACACTCCCCCACGAGTCAATTGTACTTCAGATGGCTGACCGTACCACACTAAAAAACATTCCGACGCTCCTGACAGTAGTATGAAACTCATACACAATCAATTAGAAATACTTTGGAGAATAAACCTTTGTTGGTGAAACAAAGTTGGGCGAGAGTATGATGTTCAAGTAAAACAATACTAAAGTGCCGTAACGTGAAGAAAGGAACGTAGCGCACAAGTTAACAGGGACTAATTTACTTCAAAAAAATTGCATAGCAATAATTGCTACACACCTCGATGTTTGCATAGCAACGCAACAATTTTGCATAGCAGTTTTTTTCCGTCGACAATGCAGTCTTCAGTGCACTTCCACTTATACCGTCAACAAACGCCATGCTGCCTCAAACCACGAAGCGAGGACGCCTTCTCCCTGCACATCTTGCAAAATATCTTGGTCACAGCTCCACCACTCGACTCTGCGCGAATCCATTCTTTTTTGGGATCAAATTCAGCAATCCACTTGTCCACAGTACCTTGCTTCACAGACATGCCGGCAGTGAAGAGGCTTCATCAATAAGGCTAGCAGAATTTTACAAAGATAAGTCCTGAACGGTCGAGACGCCTACTGCTAGTGAAGCAACGCGGTCTAAATCTCAAAAGCAGGTGAAGTACTTGTCGACACTCGCCTCGCGCTTCCTGGGCTGCACTTCAAGTAAGTATTAGTTAGTTAGTTTCCAAGACCAAGTGCACGTGCTGCGGTGCGCGTGCGGAGATAGTGTGACATATGGCCATGGTCCCGCGGCCCGCGCGTGGGTATGGTGTAAAATCTACCTGCAGTGCAGGCTGGACAACCACACACACACACAGTCTAATCTAGTCACAGTGCATGGCGCGCCATCTCGTGGCGCCAAACCAGCCACACACACTGTAAAGCTACACATGTGCATGCGCTACGCGTGCACTACAAGTCTATGTCCAGGGCCATACTTAGCTGTATGTTGTGTCGCAGTTTACCGCGACTCACTACGAACTTCGAATCGCAGACACTGTGTTTTGCGTCGCAAATTGCGATGCGATACCGGTTAAATTAGTCCCTGGTTAATGAAGATAAATTCACATACAGAACACAATATGCCCAGATGTGGAAATTTAAGTCAAGATTAGCAGAATATACACACATGCAAACACACACACAAGCGTGTGCACACAAACGCAAACACACACACACACACACACACACACACACACACACACACACGCACTGTTGGCTGCTATAATGCGGTGGCAGCCTAGACAGAGGAAACAAAGTTTACACAAACAAATTCCTACTCTTTCTCTTTCTTTGTCTTCTTCTTCTTCCTCCTCATATTCAGTTCAAGGCAGGCTCTTCTATTTTTTTTGCTTCGGCCAACCTCGTTTTGGGATCTGACCCACTTTATTGGGGCAGTACAGGTACCCTGAACCTGAGAGTGTCCTTCTGATGTCATCGCTCTCCTACATTTTCTGCACGTCTATATTATTCTTTTTACGAGGACAGCAGAAGGACAGAAACAAAGACATCCACACCATTTTTAAGACTGCATCTTCCAAAGAACACATCAAAAAGCAAATTCTACACGCCAAGCATCGGTTCACGCCGTAACAAATCTCCACGCCATGAAAAATTCGATCGAATGCCTGGTGGGAGATGCTTTTTAAAAGGCTTGCATACACTTTTCACAAAAGACACCGGATTCGTACAAGAATATATCAACTTCTAATCAAGGACTGTAATAAGTTCTGCCTTACGTATTAGAGGGGAAGTCTGCTGAATTTTTTAAAAAAAAATTTGAGGATACCCCGTTTTTAGCCGTTTCCGAGTTGGACTTTTTACATCCGCTGGCTTCTGCCTGCATGCCATAGTCAACAAACATACGGAACATTACACTACAGTACTGCCGGGCGCCGAAGAACGGGGTCAGGGTTCTAGCCTAGCCCGTTCTTATTTTTGGCGAACACAGCAGTTTCGTTCATATTCGATGGTACAGTCTTGCATGTACATTTATGCAGAGTTATACGTCTGAGTGTACATCATATTCATATTGTACATCACGTTTCTACCTAGACCGTTCTTAAAAAATAGCGAAATCATAGCCTGGCCGTTCATCGGCGGTCCGTTCTTCGGCGCCCGGCAGTACTGTAGTAGTAGTAGTACATGACTACACCCGCACTGCTGTGCTAGCGCTACGCGAGTCGTGTGGTAGATCTAAAATTATGTACAAGAGACTAGTCAATACACGGACGTGTCATGTACTGCACCCGGTATGTAGTTAGAGAAGGTGTGCACCTCCGGGCCGGTGATTGTGCTTTGAGAAGGAAATATTTTAGTTTTCGGCTTGGAATAGTCCAGCCTCATTTATGCTACAACGATGAGTCCACAACCGTGACAAGCGACAAAACCGCGAACAGCTCCCGGACCTAAAACGTTCAGATCCCGAAGTGTTGTGATCCTTGAATCGAAGAGTCGTGTCCGTGGTTCCAAGAACCTGCATTGTATATCCAATCGAGCAGCGTCCGAGCTATGTTTGCACCAAAAATCGTGAAATTTTCCACTGTATCATGGAAATGCTACACCCTACAGTCCCGCTGTTACCATATTTTGCCAGTATAAGTCGACTTATTGAATTGAATTCAGTGCAAACAGGAATTTCGGATAATTGACCGTTTGGACAGTTGACATTCGGATAATCGGCATTCTACTGTAATCCTAGTGCATGCAATGAAACATACTTGACTGTTGGGAGTCTTGCTGCGTCAGTGCAAATTGGCAGTTAATGCTAGAAGCTGCAGTGAACAACATCACAAATAGAAAATAAAGAAAAGCAAATACAACTGAACTTTGATACTGGAAATTACAGATCTGCTGCCCGCATCCACATGTCCATATTCTACATGTGCGATTGATCCTGCAAGATCTTCACTGCCCGTCTAATTGAGGATGGCACCCCGAATAGAGCGGACCGCTTCTAAACCAATCAAAGACCCAGGTTGTTATACTCCAGCAACCGGGCAAAGACCTGTCACCCATCCATGACCCATCAGCCCATCTCCTTATGCTCACATTTTGGTGTAGTAGTTGAGCACCTGTTCTTCCTTCATCAAGTGGATATCCTAAGCATGTGACTTACCGCTGGTATATCTCTGCACATCCATCTTGACTGGTTGTCAAGTCCCTTTCCGGAGAGGTAGAGTGGATGGTAGGGTCAGTGCAGTCCTGGCCACGCCATGAGAAAGAAGACATTTTCCCATCAGGAGAAGGCCAACATCCTCCCTCTGGGTAGTGCCTTGATACCTGCAGTGCAGTGCAGTAACATTAAACTGCAATTGAAACTGTCTCCATGCCATTGTTAAGCCCAGTTCACATTCGACGGGGCGCAACGGGACGCGACATAAGAATCGACGGGAAACGCCGGGACGGTCACCCCGTCACGGACTGTGCCTTATGACTCGCACCATTCGCTGTTGAACATCGCAAAGACTGGAGCATGTCGTGTCGTACGAATTGTACAAGATTTTACAGCTCACCCCAGCCGTCACAGGCCCTTACGTCCCGTACCGTCAGCGTTGCGTCGAAAGAGAACTAGGCTTTAGAAAGATTACGTGTTGGTATGTGCTCCTAATTACACACAAATATACAAAAGGTATATAAAGAGAAAGCATGATCCACCCCATCATTGACACCAACAGCCCGGCACAAGAGCAGCAGCACCTGCATTCTATTAACCCAAAGTTCATCTGCGAATATACTCACAGAGTCGTCTCCTTTACTGTGCCCGACCTTGGAAGAAAACAACACAGCAACGTAGTGTTGGTTTCGGTGAGGGCTTCTACGTTCACATGAACACACAGAAAAGCACAATATATTTCCAAACAGACGCCAACTAGTATAACCAAACAGCAACGACAACACCACAAAGACCTAACAGTCTCTTGAGCACAAAGTGTCTGGGATAAAAAAAAGAGCAGAAGTTCACCATCGACACTGGTATTATAAAACTTTCTACAACTGCTGCAGAGGCAGCAGCAGGGTTCTAGTGCCCGGACCCAAAGCTCATCTGAGAATTTTCGCCATTGATACAAAGCAACGACCATGGTAGCAGCAGAGAGTAACAGCAGCAGCCGTTTGAGCAGCAGTATCAGCAGTCTCCAGCTTCAAGGGATTGACCTAGCAAATTTTACAGTAACATGAAAAGTGCAACTGCACTCTTTCCGGCACCAAATATGCCATGCTGTCCCCCGCTGCAAAATAGAGGACAACTCTCAACTGTCGCCAACACCTTGGCCCAGAGGGAGTCTTTCCTTCGACATTCGCCCCGGCCAAAGAAGGTCAAAACCCAAGTGGTGTAATCATGTATCTGCTTCTCCTATCGAGACACTGGCAAGGCTTGTATAGGCATGATAAATTGATAATACTGTATGCATATAACAAAGGCAAACGCACAAACTCACGTCCATGCACATGTGCACGGACGGTGTCGTTGGCGTACACACACACACACACACACACACACACACACACACACACGCGCGCGCGCGCGCGCCCACGCCCACGCATGCACAGGACAAAGGCATGTGCAAAGGAGCATGCTCATAAAAGCACAGGACAGGCACACGACTGATCTACGGATGTATCACGACATTGAAGGGACGGAGCTTGCAGCAAGCCTTCACCCTCTGGAGATTCCTGAAATACATAAATACATGTCAGCAGTAAATAGTTGCAGCATAAACATTTCCACGGGGACTGTGCAGCTTCACTAACCTTAACTTCAGTCTCCCCAGAATGCAGCAATCAGACAACGGCTACGAAGAGGTGCAGGAAATTTGAACAACTGTTTCAAAAGCAGTCCTCCAAGCCTTCTGCACCAACAGGTGATTCAGTTCGTGCTCTTATACCATCCTGGCAGGTAGAGACATTTTCTAATAACACGAAGAGCACAATCATCAAGGTGGGCAAATCCTCAAGAGAGAGTGCACCCTAACTTACACTACAAATCATTTACTGGACACTACTGGACAGAGCGTCCAGTCCATTCAGTCCAGGGGAGAAGAGGCAAAGGCATAGGGCTCCTGAGAAGATGAAAGGGCAACACATTATCATTACTACATTAATTTTATTATTGGGGGCAGACGTCTTCTCTGTAAAATATGAGGACGAAAGGCACATCAGTACTCACATCCCTGCTCATATCACTGCTCATCCCTGTCCTCTACGAGGGCAATGCATTTAGGGCTGAAACAAGTATACAGATAACTCGCAAACCGATCGTTTTAAGAGCGCAATCGATAATCGTTAGTGTTCAAAGCGAATGCAAACGATTTTTTATGCATGCATACCAGTGGCAGTATTCTAGCCCTTGCACTCCATCCAATTGTGGATACGAGTGCAATCGTGTACTTTCAAGCGCAGTAATATTGATGCGTGGCTATGAAAGAGATCGGGAGTCAAGACGGTATCTTTTCGATTGATTCGTTGCGGAAGTTGGTGATAAGAGCTTCAAGCCAAAGGGTGACGACAAGCCTGATTCTTCGTTCTAGAAACAACAACATGAACTCCTCTAGTTCATATTGATAAAGCCTCGTTCAAATTCGACGGGACGCGGCGTAAGGATCGATGGGAAGCGACAGGACGGTCTGACGGCGTCCAATGTGAACACCAGGAACGGGAACGCAACCATACTACCGTACGGATCGGGAAGCGACGGGAAGTGTTGGATCAGTTCAACTTTTCATACCGTAGACGGGCATAGACGGAGACGCAAGCGTACAAAACGGCTGCATTTTGAGTGAGAACAGGAGGCGGCGTCGTGCGCCATCCACTCCCGATTCGTACTGGGAAATTTTTAGGATTTCGAACACTGCGCTTCCCATGATAACTCGCAGAATGGCTAACACGACTTGAGTTGAATTTTAGCAAGATAAGATCTCATGTCACTTATGGTATTTAGGGATAGTTTAGGAGAATGACAGATGAACTGTTTTATCATTTCCTAGGGCTACTATTCGAATGGCACAACTTTCAGGGCTACTTTTTTGTCTCCATGAAAAACTGGTATTGTGAATTTGATTTCGCTTCATTCAAGGAGAAATTATTGAAAAGAAGTCCCGAAAAACAAGAAATTAGGTCCGAAAGTCACCCCGTCACGGACTGTGCCTTATGACTCGCGCCGTTCGCTGGAGAACATCGCAACGACTGCAGCATGTCGTGTCGTACGAATCGTAAAAGATTTTACAGCTCACCCCAGCCGTCCCGACAGGCCCTTACGTCCTGTACCGTCAGTGTTACGTCGAATGTGAACTAGGCTTTAGACCAGTCAGATGTCTACAGGTGTCGACACAATTGCCTGAAATGTTTACAGAATACCAAACACTGAGCGGTAGCCTGGGTATATTTAGAGCGTTTGACTGGTGGCCACAGCTAATGTAGCAAAGGCATCATGGAATTTCTTCATAGTCTTGTGTTCGAGGTGCACGACTACAGCCGGAAAGAATCTATAATTATGAACCAACAATTATAATTGATCTCAATGTCTCAGTACTCATACTCCTTGTCAGTTTTGTGCTAGATTGTGCACGTCTGACTATTCGAAATCTGGTTTAGTTGGTGGACTCGATTGCATAACTTGTGCCCACATTTTTCTATGTTACAATGATATTCATCGCTAAAGAGATTGGTTGATCGCTTGGAGTTATTGAATGATCGTTTCAGCCCTAATTTATTTTCACCCTGGCCACAGCACTAGGCGAAATTCTCTGACACGGCCTTTACCTGCATCCACTGCTCTTTCGCATCACGACGAAGGACATGCAGGGGTTCTCTCTGAGCAGAGGAAAGTAGCCATCGCCACCACCACCATCACCATTCACCGACAATACTAGAGAGACTATTTTCCCCGTCGTGGGTACTTCCAATAAAGTAATTCCACTTACATAGGTACCGTCAGCGGCGCCACCATGTTCCCAACAGTGTATTCCTATCGTGGGTACTTCCACGGGCAATAAATTCGGCTCGTGCTGTCACTCGCAAGCCATCAAATTCCTATACCTCCCTTGCGCGAATTGCCTCTGCAAACAAAATTATTTCAATGATTGGATTAATTCAGTTCTTTTCGCTCGTGCATGCACGTCACGCCGGGTGCACTGCGCGCGGCCCATCTCCGCCCGTACATTGTTTCATCTTGTTTCATCTTGTTTCATTCGCGGCCCATCTACGCCCGTACTTCGAGTTTCATTTGGTTTCATCTTGTTTCATCTTGTTTCATCTTGTTTCATTTTGTTTCATTTCGTTTCATCTCGGCCCCATCTGCGCCTGTACATTGGCGTTTCATCTTGTTTCATCTTGTTTCATCTCGTTTCATCTCGTTTCATCTCGTTTCATCTGTTTCATCTGGGGGGAAGACGGGCCCGTCAACCTTGCGCTTTGTTCTGCTAACCAGTGTGTGGCAAACATGGCTTGTGTGCATGGCGATGACTCTTGTTGTAAACTATACAAACAAGGTCACGAGTCTCTAGACTCGGCAGCGCAGCACGGAAAATGACACCATGCAATTCCCTGGTTTGAGTCGATTGATGACCATGGTCTGGCTCAGGCTGCATGTAGCCCGCATATCTGAATAATTTGTCGACGATCGCCATGGTCACCCAGTTGCAGTAGCAATGCAGTGTATTGGTCTGGGTACAAGGTAATGACTATGTTACACACCTGCATGTGCACACGTGTTGCCAAGGCAATAAGAAGCAATTTAGCCTTGGCGGCACGGCACTTTCCACAACTATATCCACTGAAGTGCAAAATTCTATAAAACAAAAACAGCAAGTAGGATGGTAGGGTGGGGATGGTGGCTTTCCAGCTTCTGAACAAAACTATGGTGAAATTTTTAGGAATTATTCAGAAAAAAGTTTGAACTTTGCCTTTTCCCTCCACCTTCATGTTTGGCCTATTCAAGATCTGCTCTCTCTCTGCAAATCCGCCTGTGTTACAGTGTAGGCTGTACTTGCCCCCCCCCCCCAAGCTTCCTTCGGAACATCCATGTGTTACATTGTACTCAAAGTATATCAGGGAGTTGTAGAGGTCAACTCCCTGCACCCCCGGCCGCATGTAATGGTTCTGGTGCGACTTCCTGGCATAAATCGTAGGGACTTCCCCGCCACACCCACAAACAGGGGCATCTGCTTTTTCACAGACAAAAAAAGACATCTCCAAGTAGATTTGAACCTTGAGCTGAAACAAATCCAGGCTAGGATGGTACAGACAATTATCCGATCAACCAAGTAGACATATTGATCACAAACAGACCAAATCAGACATTTCTAGACTTCACGGTTGCTTTGGGCCAAGCAGTATGACTCGTATGTACATCACCAACCAGAATCAAAATATCAAAATCTGATCAGCACCATGCATGACATCTGCAATCGCACACCCTTCCATTAATTTTCAAGCAAATCCTGCAGTGCTACAGGCAGAGATCTACAAGACGTGCACACTTCCAGCCGGGGCCTCGTGCAGGATAGCTCTGCTGTGTCTACAAAGTATACTGTTACTGAAGGGAACACAATGGCAAACTGGGAGCGGCATCCTTGACGTCTATTTCTTACAAAATGCTCAACAAGTAACTTGTAGGCGATCGGGTATTTCTTACAGTGTCATATTCATGTTTGATGGACTGCTGAATGATGGACATAAGTGAGCTATTGCTCAAGTACTCTGGTGGATAGTGTGAATATACAATAAATTTTAAAAGGTAGATTGAATGTGTAGTGCTCTGATGGGTCAGGGCAGCGACGTCAAAACTCTTAATGAACAAGCAGCATCAACTATAGCAGTATGTAGTATTTAGTAACGGTACAGACCGTGGAAAGGGAATGGACTAAAAAGTAAAGAATCTCACACAGCAGAAAATGCCGCAAATAAATTATTATGAATATTGAAAAATGAAAATGAAGCCATGTCCAGCATGACCTGACGTGAAAATGAGACACTGCACAGAATGCGGCAGTGGAGAGGATCAGGGATAATAAAATTGCACTACAGGATCCAGACCTGAGCTAGGAAATCTCACCCAAACTTGGCCAAGCACGGTAGAAAATGATATCAAGTTACTATCAACAACGTATGTATATGGAAGATAGAATCATGGCTGCAAAAAAAGGTAAACCCAATGTTCTCCAACACGCACTCGCTGTGTCCTATCACCGCACTGCAGTGAAGTGCCCTGGTTTCAAACTTGCACAGGCCAGGCATCATCTTCACAACGCACAGTGAGCCATCACCACACAGGCGAAATAGAGAGTGTGGAACACGGCAGCTGGCTGGCGACACCGCCGTCTTCACAAACACTATTACATGTACTTACTACTGTACTACTGCTGTACAGTCCTCTGCTGTGATGCTGCTACTTGACTGGGGTACTGTCAGAACACAACACACACAGAACACACACAGACCACACACACACACACGCAAGCGGTGTTGGTGCCAGCAGTAGTAGTAACAGCAGCAGAAAAGTAGCAACAGTGTCAGCATGGATACCAGTGTCTAAAGTGCTCTATTGTAGAGAACAGGAGGCATGGCTCGCCTAACACACCGCACAGGATTCACTTGAATCAGCCACAAGCAAATACAAAGCAATGCTTGTAATGTGATCGAAAGCCAGATTATACCTGGTCTGAGAGGACTACTACTGGGCACAACTACAATGAAATCTCTGTATATTGTTGTTCAACTACATACAACTAGCATCTGTATCTGAAGTGCACAGTAAGGCAGTGAACACATCCAGTGAGACGAACAAAAGACAATGCAGACAACAGGAATTACTTACCGGGAATACCAGAGCCAGAAGAACACCTGCACAAACGCACCAACAAAAAAAAAAGAGTCACATCAAAAGGCACATTAATTCTGTCTGGGGTGAAGTCAGGTGTTCGCCCCGAACGCTGCATTTCGCATTGCAAGACAGTTATTTTGAAAATGGAAAAATGGGTTACAGGGTAACTGTTTTCTCTTGTACAACACTAACGTTAGCACGCTGCATGTACTTAGTACGTGTATATATTCCATCAGGCATTGTCTGTTCATAACTACCCAAGTGGAAGGAAAAGGATGGTGAAGAGAATGAGGAAGAGAAGAAAGACAAAGATTCACCAGGAATGAACTGCAAACTCAAGACTCCATACAGTTGACAGCAAAAGTCACCAGTACTACAACTTTGAAGTACTGGTAGTGCACCAAATGTGACACATACATGCACACACACACACATACACACACACTCACACACACACAGCAAGCCTTACCGATGAACTGAAAGCCAGCACATAACGGGATCAAACCAGCATAGCCCAGTTTGCAGATGAGGTTGGATGTCAGAGATGCACCAAGTACTCCTGATATGACCTTCATACAGATTCAAAGTCCAAAGAAAAACAATGCGTGAGATAGTGGAGACGCCATGTCTATGTCCATGTGTGTGGGTGTGTGTGCGCGCTTGTACACCATTAATTTTTACCATCAATCCATTGTCTGCAACTTGTCCTCATCCACATACCGCGGTGTGGTAAGTCAACAAGTGGGATCATTCCCAAGTCCACCCAGAGTCTGGTGGAGGTGTGGGCCAATAGCCAATAGCCAATTGTGAATGGAGTCATCTTTCCCATATTCCTTTTGATTTATCTCCCCTCTCCCGGGGAGGCCCACGTAACCAGGTTCTGGTAGTGAGCAGTGCACACGCATGTGCGTGTGTGCATGCGCGTGTGAGTGAGTGAAAGTGTGTATGTGCATGTGTGAATCTACGTACATTATAGCAACAATGTTATAACAAGAAAGAGGAGGGTCAGGCTTTCCATTGACCTCTTTTCACCTTAACGAATTTAGGCGAGGCATCCTGCAGCTTCATAACTCAAAGAAAAATGGTGAGCACACATGCTCTTTCCGAAACGTCGATAATGATACAGTGAACTGAGTGGTGAATTTGCAGTGTCCGAGGAAAGAGCATGTGAGCTCATCATTTCTCTTTCACGATAAGTCCTGATAATTTAAAAATAGACACTATGCACAACCGGACATTACCTGTGAGGAAAATATCATGCCGTAGTTTGGACCAACAAACTTGTCACCAAACGTCCTATTGACACAAACATTTACAACAGAACCGAGAAGACAGAATATTGCCATGAATAATGCATCCCACAAGAGTTACAAGCTACAGTGGGACTCACTCAGTACGTACTCTGATAACCATGTACACTTGCGTTTATACAGACATTAGTGTCAGGTTCTGCCACACGGTAAACGTACCAAAGTATGTATGGAAACCTCGCCGCGGTACGGGATCAAGTTTCATACGGATTGTTTCATACCGTTTTCCGTGTAAAGCGCTTCACACGGACTGGTCTCCGTGTGAAAACTGAACGGATAGAGTACATGGGGCGGGGAGTTCGAGCATGCTAGAGCATGTTACGCACAGCAGACCCGGCGCAACGTACGAAAAATCCGTGTCAAACTTCACCGCAGTTGACACGGAGTTTGGTACATAGTTCCGTGTAGCAGAACCTCTCTATTGTCCAGGGCACCGGTGAAGTCCTCCATATCGAAGTATGCTTGGCTGAAAAGTAGCTGCGATACTAGGAACACATTCCTGTTCTCCATGTGTGGGTAGGTCTTATCAGAGGTCAACTGTACTCTAATCTAACACTCGATTCAACTGTACTCTACCTATACTCTACCACAGCCATCCACTGTACTCTACCTCAAAGCACAGCAATCCACTGTACTCTAATCTAACAATCGATTCCAAGGATTCCAACAGCTACAGAGGGGACGGCACACACCGAAATGCAGCAAATCATCGTGTCCTGCTTAGTGGTGTATTTCCCACTGGAGACAACGCTACGAACAGCAGTGGTTCAGTACCCGGCGTCATTTCCAATTTTCCATACAGCTTTGTCTTTAAAAGAACAATCTACAGTAAACCCTGGTTTAAGCGACCACCCCATGGTGCAGGCGGTCTTTAGAACCAGGTCCCACAGTGTCTGTGTTGAACTGTCGGTGCATGGAAAAACGGTCGTTAAGAGCAGGTAGTCGCTAAACCCAGAGCTCGCTTACACCAGGTTTTACTGTAGATCCATACGCACAGTCTATCCGAACTATTAGAAGTGTTGAAAAGCCAGCCAACAGGTATAAGCAGCAGTGCGGACTGGATACGCTATACTACAGTGTTGTAGTAGAGGTTGAGTGCAGACAAGAAATTACTCTTGAATGACAAGGAACAACTCTCACGCCTCTACCATTCTGGATGGTGTACAGCGTGCCGTGGATAAGACACCACTTTCCCTGATCCCTGGGCCGATGCACCCGCAGGACACAGCTCAAACACAAACCGTAAACTCTGCTGCAAAGCAGACTTACGTGGCGGTGGCAAAGGGGAACAGGGAGAAGTTTCCGCCCAGGCAGAAGAAGAGCAGTGCCACCCAGATGGCGTAGGCCGCTGGACCAAGATGTGGTGTGAAGTAGAAGGAGCATAGCAGCACAGTGCAGATGGACGTCATGGAGAACATGGCAGTCTGCAGTGGGGGGGGGGGGGGGGGACACAATCATGTAGAAAGAAACAAAGAAAGGGGAAATGCCTCAACAGAGCACACACACAGTACTAAAACATGTAACACACAAATAGTACAATGGCAATATAGGTGTTTGTACCTCATTCCATATTCACCCACATACAATTGGCCATCTACATAAGTGGTGAATATTGCTGAATATTCACCGCTTATATTCACCACTTTTCGATACTTACTGTAAAGAGAGCAGTACTCGGTGCTGCGCTTGATTCCTCTTCAGTCAGCGCACCGGAGCTGTCGAGTGCCCTAGAAAATTTATACGCTAACTTCCGTAAACAGGACTTTTCTGAGTACAAACGAAATTCCTTGCTTGCCATTGTCGCTGGATCCGCATGTGACCAGGTGCTGACAAGTCATCAGCCAACAGTGAGCATCTTCACAGACGGAGCGTTCCAGCGAGCAAACAAGGTTTTGGACGCTCAACATGTCAATGGCCCGATGATGGCGGATCAAGCGGCAAGCCAGGAATTTTGTTTGTACTCAGAACAGCCCTGTTCACGGACGTTAGCGTAGAATTTTCCTAGGGCACACAACAGCTCCGAAGCGCTGCCTGAAAAGAAAAGAAGTGAGGGTAGAATCGCTTGGCTCGCTGTTTATAAACCGACTCCCGAATTGGCGCGATGATCGCGGATTGGTCAAATCTTCGCATCGAAACGGACGATGATTGGCTCCCGTCAAGCACGAGTGTGTTCTCCATGGTGATTGGCGCGAGTGTGTTCTCCAAGGTCGTCACCTCCCATGCCACATGCACCAGTATGTGTACAGGATCGATTGAACAAGATTCTGAACACGCCGCTCTTCGATTCATGCAAGAACACGCCAGTCGGTTTACGATACTGAAGCAACAGCGACTTGCGTTAGTTCTGCGTACACGTACATGTATGACCAACGTGACTCGTTTGTTGGGCTTTAGGGACGATAGGGTGAATATGGAGAGGTATAAGTCTAATATTACCTTCAGCCTCGTGAATATGGGCAAATATTCACTAGTTATACAAACCTCGGCTTCGACTTGGTTTGTATACTAGTGGATATTCGCCCATATTCACTTCGGCTTCAGGTAATATTATATACAAAATTATGGTGGTTTCTTGAACTTTCTTCCATAGGGAGCCGTGCAGCATGCTACATGCACCACCAATGGATCAATGCATAACTGTAAAAAAATACATGTGAGTGAGAATACAGGCCTGAGGGGTGAAGTGCTAGTCAACATGGGTAGATGCTGACAAAGTACTGCAGCAGCAAAGCTGAACGCGATACTAGTACTCATACTTGAACATATGCATGTTCTACACCGCACTGATGAGGTTCTTCAAAGTTCGAAGTTCCGACAATTCCAAAAAACCAAAGCCAATCCTGCTTGCACGGTTCTCACCCTGTACGAGTAGCGGTCGGCGATAAATCCCCAGAAGATGCGAGCAAAGGCATTGAATGGTGATGCAATTGTGCCCACGTTGGCCAGGAAATGATCACTGCCAATGTGCACAGACTGGCCGAACGCCTGCAGGAAACACAAAGAAAAGTTCAATCCTGCACTACCAAGAGCAAACAGCACTGTTCTATCATACACAGTGCAAACGTTCCATCTGAACATGGGTTTGCTGTGTCTTCTGGTGAAAGACACAGATAAATTCAATCCTGCACCACCAAAGAGCAAACAACAATGTCGGATCATACACAGTGCAACGGTTCCATCTGAACACAGGGTTTGCTGTGTCTTCTGTACCAATCCCAGACAGGCTAACGTTACAGGGCAGCATGCCGGGGATGCTGAGATTGGGAGTGGGTATAGACGGGCCATCCGCTATCTGTGTGCACCTGTGCGTATATGTAAGGTGATTCAAGCATGAGTCGCTTGATTTTTCTCCACTGACCCGTGTAAGGTGATGTGGAAAAAGCCTGGCAACTTATTAAACAATGGTATTGGCAACTCACAAGCGTGACATCTTCACGGGGAGAAAATCTACCAAACACCACCCAAAGAGTTTGTTCAGATACAACACAAGGAATTCTGCTTGAATTCAATAACCAGTAGCCAATGCTAACTATAGGGCTGACCTTGTACAGCGTAGCCACATAGGTAACTGCTTGTCCATTGACCAAGAACGTCAGCCACAGGATAGCAAAAAGCCAAGTGGGAACGGCACGCTTCGGTGACAAGTCCTCGCCGAAGAACGACCGACTCGTGGCCGGCCGGTGAATGGGTCCCATCTTGACGCGAGAGCAGCCACAGTTGAGGTCGATCTGGTAGCGAGGGGCGCTATCCAGTGCCCCTGAAGTCGACTCAGACTATCAGTAATAGGAATAGCACACAACAACAACAACAAAAACAGCTGGAAATCATTGTCGAGAACTACCGTTCACGAATATTTGAAATACATATAAATTTAGTGTTCACGTCTTACTTGAACTTCCTGTAGTTTCAGTCTGCAACTCCGTCGTCTTTATCCTTTTCTAACTCAGTCTTTCCATTATCTGACAGTGGTGCTCTCACTCTAGCTAGGTGCAAGCACCCTCCGCCAGACGCGAACTACATTCTTATTTCTCTAAAGTCTCTCAAATTTATTTCTTCGCGTTCACTTTCGTTCTGCAGTTTATTTATTTATTTATTTTGTCCAGCAGACATCGGATAAAACAACAAGATATTCAGAATGACAGCAGATTGCATAGAAAGTCAGTTCCCGGCGCTCGTCGACCTACAAACTGTGCTTGGTAATGACATCAAGTGGGACTGGGCTGGCCAGTGAGAGAGAGAGAGCGCTCAGCCCAGTCACAGTGCACGGCACACACATCACACTCGCACGAAGCCCTTTCCTTTTCGCCAGTCGGGACTGGTTCCCGCATTTGCATACTGGATCAAATCAAGGACAGAACGCATGCACCTGGAACAGTATAGCAGGAGATAAAGTGCGGCTGAGATACAAAACAAATGATCATCCAGAACAGCAGTAAGATAAGAATGGATGCAGCTTGACTCACCGATTCCATAACATCTCCTATTGGTTCCTCGGCACTGACCTTCTTATAGCCCTGGTGGGACAAGAGAACACGAATGTATACACTTGACAGGACCCTGACAGTTCACATTGTTCATACAGACAATCTCAACCTTTCCCAGATAGCGATCAAGTACTGTCGCAACAGAGCCACAATGATCTATAACACCCACATGCCTTGGCACTAAAGTTCCAAACCATACACACGACACGGTATACCAATTGCCATTATGCAGCAAACAAACCTCGCAGTGACTGACCCGCAGTGCTTACCCCAAGGCGACCAGTCACCTCATCTAGGTCACTAAGGTGGCAATGTAGCTCACACACTGCATAACCTATGCAGGATACCTGTATGAGGTATGCATATCTGGGGCATGGCTTGGGGGATGACTAAAGAGCACGAGTTGAGCCATGCAACACACCATACAACGAATTGAAATATGAGGCCAGCACTTTGCACTGTGCAACGCTAGCAGACATGCCATTCACACACACACACAGGCAGACACTGCACAGCGCTGGCTGACACACCCTCCATGCACACGTACACGCTATGCAGAGCAGGCTGACACAGTGTTCCTACGCTACACATTCTGGACACTACCTACCTGTGCCTCAGGCTCTGCTTCCGGAGGATTGGACAGCAACAGACAGCCTACAATCTGCATGCACGCGTAGATCAACCCCAGCAGCAAGAAGCAATGGGGCACGCGCTCCAGTAGCTCGGCTTGCTTCGGATCCTTGCCACCAAAGTAGCTGCACCGGAGGAAAGGCAAAACAGAGCGAGTGGAATCAACTAAGTAAGGTACATGTCAACATGTGTTCATGTGATTATTGTTTTAAGAGAGTTGTACAACAATGTTTCATTGGTTCTGGTCGCATGTATTTCACTTGAAGAGAGTGAGAGCACGAGAAACTGGCTGGTGATATTCCCTACAATACAATGTCTGTGGTTAAGACCCTGAAGGTACTTCCTCCGTATACAAAAACTTCGTGACTTTTTTGAACGGTGTTTTTGAGCAAGAACCTGCTCCACGAACGGCGCCAAAGGCTGTCATCGACAACCCACGTCCATGTCGAGGTGAGTTTGGTTGATCCCGAACAGATTCTCCACGTACGCCATGCGTGTGAGGACGTTGCCGATAGAAACTCAAGAGTCAAATGAAAAAAAACTAACACTTACTTGCTCGAAACTGACACAGTGCACTAGTGACGAAGTGTAGCTCGTGGCTGGAACACGGAGTCACGCGGCACTCGCTGCCCTGAAACTGGCCTGGCTCGTTTTCTGGTACTTGCGGTGCGCGGTCCCATAACTACGCAGCGTGAGAACATCGATTTGTTTCGGTCGCACGGCAAGATGAAACATTTCAGTCGTCGTGCAACCAGCGCAGACTCAGGATCAGAATGTCGATGGCCTGGCTTTCTTCGCCTCTCTCCAGTCGGGCGCCTCCTTTGTCGCCAAGGGGAATCGCAGGGACCTCCTCGAAGCCATTGTAGAATGCTTCGGAGGATTATCCTGGCGAGAAAATGCGAAGCGTGTGGATGTGCTTGTACGACTCGTTTCACGGCATAACGGAGGTTGCGGGTTGGAACAACTGAATATAGTTGACACCGATTCGTACACAGCTCTAGAGATGAAGAGGACGTTGCCAATGTCCAGCGTCGGATCATCACTGCAGGTGACAAGAATCTGAACGAAATGCGAGCGGAAGCAGCGACTGTTGACGATGCGGAGTCAGCGTCGTCAGGTGACAATGACATGAGCGACGAAGACTCTGAAAAAACTCAATCTCATTCGTCTGAATTGCTTTTTTCTTTGTATATAGCTTGTAAACAGGTTAGACAATGCCACGAGTGTTATTCCAAGTCAAACGAAACAATTTCAGAGCTGTGCGCAGCTTCCAAAAAAAGTCACGAAGTTTTTGTATACGGAGGAAGTAGTTAGAAGTCTTTCTTGTGCTCACAACACTGTACCTTCGCAAATATAGGACAGCATTGCAAGGAGGAAATTCTCCTTTAGCCCGCGGAGACAAGTCGCCTGATGATTGCAGTGTGCAAGAAACTCTGTAAACCTCCTTTGAGTCTTTTGTGTGAAGGATAGCATTATAGATAGATTCAATGTGCTTATTAGTCAGACTGAGTGTTGCTTCGAAGCCCACAGCGGTGCTTACCTCTCTTCTTTACCGCAGGAGCCGTGCTCATGCACTGACACCTTGAGATTGTGCGGATTGATGTACTTGGTCTGCACCTGGTCAAAGATCAGTGCACCGGCGCCGAAGCCAGCCACCACTATGCCATTGGCAAAGCCACGGTGGCTAGGCATCCACTACGGGCAGAGATCAGACAAACCAACAACAACAACAACAACAACAACAACAACAACAACAACAACAACAACAACAACAAACAAAAACAAGCTCAGAATGAAGGAGGAAGACTGTATATAAGTCAAGAAGTTCACCACTTTTCGGAGGCAGGGATACTCGAGCAATACAGGAGATCCAGCATAGCTTGGCAGAGAAGAAGTCATTCGGCCATGCACTCACCCTCATCGCACAGCTCAGCGGGTTGACGTACGCCAGGCCCACACCGAGGCCAAACATCAACCCGTACGTGGCACAGAGGGCATAAAAGTTGACGATGGCAAAGTACGACAGGGCCACACCACCACTGCACAGAGACAGTATAGGCACACAGATACACAGACAGACAGACAGACAGACAGACACGCACACACACACATTGCTCAAGTGCATACATGATCAAGGGGGTATACATGTACTAGTACTGTACCATTCGCCGCGAGCATACATGCATGCCTATGCACATGTCCATGTGTGGGAGTGTGTGTGTGTGTGTGTGCAATGTCATAGAAGCCCACATATCGGGTATGTGTGTGTTGCCATGCATGTATGTATGTGTGTGTGTGTGTGTGCGTGTGTGTGTGTGTGAGAGAGAGAGAGAGAGAGAGAGAGAGAGAGAGAGAGAGAGAGAGAGAGAGAGAGAGAGAGAGAGAGAGAGAGAGAGAGAGAGAGAGAGAGAGAGAGAGAGAGAGAGAGAGAGAGAGAGAGAGAGAGAGAGAGAGAGAGAGAGAGAGAGAGAGAGAGAGAGAGAGAGAGGAAGAGACAAAAGAAAACAAAATAATGATCACAGATGCTGTACACATTGTAATCAAAATAAACAGACGCGGCTCACCTGCTAAGAAGGGAACCGATCAGAGTTGTCCAGCGTGGTCCAATCAATCTACCAAGGATGCCACCAAAATACATACTACTGCCCTGGCCTATGATAGCACAGGCATATATCCACACTGACGTCTACATGCACAAGGAACCAAGGAAAGAAATTCCCTTTTAGACAATTGTTTTAACCTGAAAATCATAAATATATACCCATTTTGCACGCACACACACATACACAGATGGTAAACCACAGACAGGAGTGTATGCGCTTGCATCGCCTCCTTAGATGCTACAACTCCTTGGGTGGCATGTGTACATGAATCAGACAATAACACAGCAGCAAATCATGAGCCAGTCAACAGACCCAGTTCAATGATGCACTTACCCCATAGGTGATGTCTTTCTGTTGTCCATGCTCTCTGATATAGGATGTGATGTATGGGCTCATATTACCTGCACACGCCAAACAAGAGCAAGCAGCAGTTGGATAACAATGGAAGGAGTTCACGCCAAACAAGAGCAAGCAGCAGTTGGATAGCAATGGAAGGAGTTCACGCCAAACAGAGCAAGCAGCAGTTGGATAGCAATGGAAGGAGTTCACGCCAAACAAGAGCAAGCAGCAGTTGGATAGCAATGGAAGGAGTTCACGCCAAACAAGAGCAAGCAGCAGGTGGATAACAATGGAAGGAGTTCACGCCAAACAAGAGCAAGCGGCAGTTGGATAACAATGACATGGAAGGAGTTCACGCCAAACAAGAGCAAGCAGCAGTTGGATAGCAATGGAAGGAGTTCGCGCCAAACAAGAGCAAGCAGCAGGTGGATAACAATGGAAGGAGTTGTTGTTGTTTGTTTATTTAGAGTCGAAGAACAAACAGGCAAATTTGCCTAATTACATGATATCAACTAGAAAGGAGAATAAAGTATAAAAGGCCAGTGAAGGTAATGATACTGAGTAGAGTGGGTAATGATACTGAGTAGAGTGGGTAATGATACTGAGTAGAGTGGGTAATGATACTGAGTAGAGTGGGTAATGATACTGAGTAGAGTGGGTAATGATACTGAGTAGAGTGGGTAATGATACTGAGTAGAGTGGGTAATGATACTGAGTAGAGTGGGTAATGAAGGTAATGATACTGAGTAGAGTGGGTAGTGAAGGTAATGATACTGAGTAGAGTGGGTAATAAAGTATTACATTGTAAAAGCCAGTTAGGCCAGTAAAGGAAATAATAATACAGCGGACAGTGGCATTACTGAAAAGCAGCATGTGCTGGGAGGGATCGCATGAATCGGTGGTACTGTGGGATTTTCCTGATGTCGGGCTGGAGCCTGTTCCACAGTGATACACATTGGAATGAGGCAGAATGTGTGCCAGTGGATGTCTTTAATAGTGACTGGAAATTTAAGTGCTCGATTTCCCTGACTACGTGTAGCACGGCCAGCATTAAGAGGACTGAACATATCGGTAAGCAATGTGCTGCATTTACCCTGAAGGCAGCGCCAAGTGAAGCCAAGGAGCTTGTGGCAGTACATAACTTCTAGCGAGTGCAATCGCAATTAGCAATACAGCGGCGCAGATGGGGGTGCAAATGGAGCGTTGTAAACACAGCGGACTGCGCGCTTGAGTAGACGCTCTAGGCGCTCGAGCTGATGTGAGGTGAAGCCAGCAGAGAAACAGTTGCTAGCATACAGGAAGTCAGGAAGGATCAGGGACTTCAGGTACGTGATGCGGCACAGGAGGGGCATGCAGCGCCTGTTTCTAAACAGGACAGCTATTTTACAGGCAGCTCGTGTGGCGATCTGATTGACCATTGTGGTCCACTTGAGATCTTGGTCCATGTGGACACCAAGATACTTTGCGGATTCTACTTGTGCCAGTTGAACTCCAGAGCACATGACGCTGACACGAGGATTCACAGAACGATGGGTAGGGATGAACAAAATCTGGGTTTTACTCTCGTTTAAGTACCAGGTTCCTGCTGGCAAGCCATCTGGCCAGGTGTGTAACTGCAGAAGACATACTACGTTCCAGCTGATGTTTGTCCCTGCTACTAATATAGAGCATGATGAGTTCACGCCAAACAAGAGCAAGCAGCAGTTGGATAACAATGGAAGGAGTTCTCTGAAGGCAGTACAGTAATACTGTATACTTCGAGTAATATAATACGCAACACCACACTCATACACACATACTGTGTAAAATCCAGCACCGCAGTCACACACACACACCACACACACACACACACACACACACACACACACACACACACACACACACACACCACCACACACACCACACACACACATATACACACACACACACACACACACACACACACACACACAAACTGTGCAACATTCAGCACCATAGCCACTGTGTAATATCCAGCACCACCGCAGCAGATCAGAAACTACGCAATGCCCCAGCTGCTTCTCCAGTCCGTGGCTACGTAGTTTACGGGTATCTCTCAGTGCCAGACCCCATATGCAGAGTTGCATACTCTTAGGGCTAAGGACACTTGCTACTGGTCACACACACCCAGTACACACTGCTAATACTGCGCAGGGCTCCGCTGACCCAAGTGATTGCTGATGGAAATAGGACCGCGATCTACCTTTCTATGGCAGACCATGAGCACGAGCTGTCCAGCTGCAGAAAGCCTTTACGGTGAGCAATTAATGGTTCGCCGACTGCCATTCTCCTGTAGATCTCCAAGGCCAGCAAGTCAAAAGCAGAAGGTTGAGTAGTTCTCCTTGAACTTCATTCACATTCTTCATCATTTGTGAGAACTAGACCTGGTCTAGTGAGAAGGCATTATACTGCCTGTAATTCTGGTGAAGTAAAATAAAGTAACAACAACAACAACTTCCAAAGGACCTCAAAATAGTTCTCAAAAAGCGAGTCACTATAATTATATCATGTTCTTTTTGTACAGTTGCCACTATGATTACAGTAGTCCATGCCAAGAGATGCAGAGGCGCAGAGGTTGCTCAATGTACTTGTATCTTGATCTTACAAAAGCTTTTAACAAGTATTCAAAACATGCTGGGGTGTGCGTGGAGCTGGTGTTCTGAGCGAGTGTGGATGCTGGAGCACTGAGTAGTATGTGAGTGCACGGTAATCTTGTTTCAAGCCAAGCCAAGTGCCATGTAAGGTCCGGATGGTCATTTTTAACATTAGGCACCTTCGCACCACGCGTACGGATACGAAACGAATGCTGATTGGTCGCCTGGGTTCGAGGATTCGCCAGAGTCCCTCATGAGGGCTTTTTTCATGAAAGGAAGCATCTTCACTCGTAGATCGCTCCGAATCCGTTAGGTACACATTTTTTCGCCAGGTACACATTTTTTCTTTGATTCCATGATCCATGCATGTGTATGTGTAAACACGCGTACGCCAAGATACCGGCCATATTCGTAGTTACCTTGGAAATTAGCATGACGACTCGCGAAACCTGAATCTCTTTTCAACGAAACGAGCACGGGCCGAATCAAACTTTCGTTTCGCAGCAAATGCGAAAGGTCCCTAGTTTCACAAATCAGACCACCTCGGAGATCAGACCACTCTGTCGGTCCGAACGGCTGTCGCAATTCTGATGTTCCACTGTACATGTACATGCACCATGTGTTCTACTGTACGCTCATACCGAAGTTACTGCACTTCGGTCTACTGGCACCCTTTGGGTGAGCTTAAGTGGAAATATTACTACTCTTGTGTTACTTTTAGTAGAAATAGTGACATCAAGTGCCATATTGCTGGCATTTCGGCATCAAAACGTACATGATTCAGAGTTAGGCCACCCTTTCTTTTTTCGTTGTTTAACGTCCGCGCCCGCGTACCTTTTTGCCTCAGACTGGAAAAAAAACAAGAAAGTAGTAGTACCAATAATATGCGAAGTAACACTGTTAGTTGTAAATACATGATTCTGTAGTTTCACAGTGTGCCGATCATGACCTTAAACTTATAATCTTGCCTCCCGGGCATTATTATCTCTCCTTTATTCACTTCTTTCGAAGGCGATAAGCCAGACCCACCGGGAAATATTTCCATGGGTGGGACAGCAAAAAGAAAGTGAAAAAACAAACAAAAATAAATAAATAAATAAAACCTAAAAACCAAAGGGACAAGAAATAGTTGAAGGAAGAGGAAGAAAGGAAAGAAACTCAATCCGAACTCCAACATCAAAACAATAATAAAGAATTTGCAGCGACAGGCAAAATACATCAACCAATGAAGGGAGTAACAAAGGAAATATCAGTCTTTATCAGTCGTTATTCAAGTCTCTTAGCTATTGAACATGCAAACGCAGCAGAGGTGCATCTACATGTTAAGGATAGTTCTTAGTATTTTTAATCGAACCTTGTATAGCCTCCTGTTGTACAATAGCCAGGTCTCCTCCCTGCACAGTCCGGAGGCATTGAGGAGTCTCCCTCACCAAGCCTCCCAGGGCACCGACAACCACAGGGACCACGTCAACCTGGGTGAGGGACCAAATCCTCGAAATCTCCCGCTTCAAATCATAATATTTCGAGCGCTTTTCAGCCATTTTCTTATTGATGTTGTTCTCACCAGGAACGCTGATGTCTATAATGTAGGGTTATTATTATTATTATTATTATTATTATTATTCCACAATCACGATGACATAGTGCCAATAAGCATGTGATGCGGGCGATTTTAAGCAGCCATGGTGGGGACAACTGAGAAAAAGAAGGAGAAAAAAAGAGAAAAGAAAACAAAACAAAAGAAGTACTATAGGAACCTGGAGAGAGCAGTATGAAGATTAGGCTAGCATGCCTTTGTCTTGTGTTCTTTTTCTTTTTTTCATGACATGCTAACTCCATGCTATGTACCTGTTTTGTTGGATTCATCAGGCATGTGCTCCAATGTACCATCAAAGAGTGTTGTTCTATGCCTGCAAGTGCCGTTAGACCCAGAAATATTGTATATATCACATGCTTTACTGGTCAAAATGTTTGATTGGGGTTTCCAGTTTTTGGAATGGGTTTTGTTTTTTTTCCGCCCTCCCGCATACCTTTTCGCGAAAAAAAGGACGTTAAACAATGAATTAACAAAGGGTGGCCTTACAGACATTTCAAAGCAATCATGGACAGTGCCCGGTCCCGAACCTGGCGGAAAAACCGGGCACGAGCGCACATGCACCATGTCTTCCAGTGTATAAACTGCACTATCCCCTGTGATGCCTGCATTGATAAAATTGCTTGTAAGTAAAAGTGCACTTGAAACCCATGTTATGATAATGAAAACATGAGAGTTCATTCTTGTAGGCGGTATATTCTTTTACACGACCACCACGCTATAACCAATACGCACTGTAGTACTGTACTTGTAGTAGCTAGTGCCAGAAAGATTCCAAGAAATCACTTGGGGTTTACACCATGCCCAGCGCAAACGTGGTAGAAAGAGTGTAGCAGTGATGAATGACTAGTGATTTGTTGGGATTTGTTGCAACCAACTGTACCTTTGATGCTGCGACGAACTTGGACATTTGTCAATATTATTATTACTTTAGATCGCGGAAGACCTACCCTATTACATGTACTAGTATAATTATTGTGCTGAGATAACACAATATCCAGACCAGTCTGGAAATAAGCTTACCAAATGTGTATACAGTCCCTAAGGTGAGGTGCACCAGCGCTCCACCGAACACAGCCAGCCAAGCTCTCCATTGCCGCAGCTCGGATTTGGGTTTCTGTGCGGGCCGCCCTTCAGTCATCATGAAAGACAGGCGTGCTCCAGTGAACGACATACAGACCTACAACGAACGGAAGTAAGTTCATGGGGTCATACTATTGATAATAATAGTAAATGGCTAAATGCTGGGTCTTCTTTCAAACAACTGTTGTGTGACTTCCAGTGACTTCGCTACCATGGGCTTTTATTTCATTACAAGCAGACGTTATGGTTGTGCTGGAAGTAACTCGCGCTGCCAAAAGATCAATAACATTCCTTGATCCTTCCCCACATCTAGTTTTCGTCGGGAAGGACTTCGGTTTTTTTGAAAAAAGCAGCACCGCGCACATCACGTCAGGATACGGGATGTACCGTATTGTACGTCGTTGACTTGTTTCTTCTACAATGACGTTTGCATCCATGCACGTGAGACGTGACCTGTGGGCTCAGGGCTGCAGCGCTGATGGAGTGCATGCATGGCATATGCGTTGTGCAGGGTAGACCCAGACTGCCGGCTTTCGGCAAAATATCGAAGTATTGAAAGAGCGGAAATTGCCGGCAAAATCGGAGGAAAATATCGAGATGTTGGGTAAAATCGATGCCTGATACTTGGATTTCCTCTTACCCGTTCAGCAGGACCAGGACACACTGCCCAGGACAAGATCAGGTTACCGAAATATCACTGGGATTCACTGTGGATCGACATGATTTTGGAAGAACTCAGGGACACGTGCTTGGAAACCCGTGTTGAGAAACCGACCCTGCAATTTTTATGAAACGTTGTGGATCGATTGTACGGGAAAAGGATAAAATACACGTTTTTCCGGAGCAAAATGGAGCAAAATATCGAGTTTCTTGTGCCAGGCTCGGCAAAATATCGAAGATTTCGCAGCAACATTTTGCGGTAAAATATCGAGGCGAGCGGAACAGAATCTGTCTGGGCCTATACGCCTAGTACAGTATAGTGCAGGGTGCAGGCTAGATCTACAGTCCATTTCAAAACTACAATAATACATGTACATGTACATGTACGCGTCTATACAGTCATATAGACGCGTAGATCTACCTAGGCAAAAACCGTTATGCCAGCATAATTATTATATCACATAAAATCTGTGATCACTTTGTGCATAAATTTTTCCAAATTGGGCGTCTGTTATCCAATCGTTTAGAAACTGTATGAGAGTAATTGTGGAGCGGACCTGAGCAATATTCCGAAAACTATTCTCAAAAAGTTCCAGCCAAATTTGAAATGTTTCAAAAACCCTAAGCGTCTATAGTTTTGAAATGGACTGTAGGCCCAGACAGATTCTGCAAATCTGCTCCGCTCGCCTCGATATTTTGCCGCAAAATGTTGCTGCGAAATCTTCGACATTTTGCCGAGCCTGGCACAAGAAACTTGATATTTTGTATTTTGCTCCGGAAAAACGTGTATTTTATCCACTTCCCGGCTCCCCAATTCCCGTACAACCGTTTTCATAAAAATCGCAGGGTCGGTTTCAACGCGGGTTTCCACGCCCGTGTCCCTGAGTTCTTCCAAAATCATGTCGATCCATGATAGTGAATCCCAGTGATATTTCGGTGACATGATCTCGTCCTGGGCAGTGTATCCTGCTGAACGGGTAAGAAACAAGGAAATCCAAGGCAGGCATCGATTTAGTCATTTTACCCAACATCTCGATATTTTCTCCGATTTTGCCGGCAGTTTCCGCTGTTCCAATTCTTCGATATTTTGCCTAAAGAATTGGCGGCAGGATCTGTCTGGGCCTACTGCTAGCCCTTTCCCAAAGGTGCTCGCCCTTTTTTCGCCCTTTTTGGCCCTTTTTGGAAAAGCCCGTTTCTTTCGCCCTTTATTTCAAGTTAGCTGAAAAAGTGCTAAAATCTGTTTGCGATCACAGTTTCCGAGTGCTCGATGGGCCTTGGAAGTTGGCACGCCGCTTTTTTGGGGGGCAACAAGTTGGTGAAGCTTGTACACAATGCTGTAAAAAGTGGTTTTTTTGAACTTTACCGTTCCTATTTTGCCTTTCGTGAACCCATAAATGGAAGAATGCGTATTCATTTCTCAGCTTGGGTTCATATCTGAACATGTATCATGGCTATGCTTCACAGAAAAAAGAGCACTTTTTGCCTGTTTTCACTGAAAAAAGAGCACTTTTTCAGCATATTTTGAGGGACGCGAAAAGCACTAAGTGCGAATTAAAAAAGCACCTTTGGGAAAGGGCTACCTACTGCAGGCTGCAGCAGCATGCCAGCAGTTAGGGACCGGCGGATTCTACTCGAAAAGGTGGCAGATTCTGCTCGAAAAGCAGTGAAATTGGCAGAACCATACCAACCTTATGGCGGGCAATTCCTCGAATTCTGGTCCATTTCTTTATCCACATACCAAATATGCATGAAACTTACCAGAAAAAGTACCGAATTCTGCCAATTTTTCTGCCGGCAGAACTGGGCCGCCGGACCCTACCAGCAGTGCAGCTCAGGGAGCCCTACATGTGTAGAGCTCCCTGGTGCAGCAGCAGGCGGTGCCACAACCATGACAACTGCACAAGTATTTATAATATAGTTAGTTTGGCAAAACGACAGCGGCTAAGACTTAGTAACAACCTCTCTAGGCTCTCTCTCTCTCTCTCTCTCTCTCTCTCTCTCTCTCTCTCTCTCTCTCTCTCTCTCTCTCCCTCTCTCTCTTTATCTCACTCCGGCCCATGATCCAGCATCATCAGAGACTTGGGGATCTCCTGATGCAAATCATGCAATAGAAATAAAGCCGCTAGGCCTGTGGGACTGCCCTATTCAAAATTTAATAATAATCATAATAATAATAAATAAATAGCAATGAAAAATATCAATTGTGCACTCATAACCATGTATAAACAATTAAAATGAAACAATTCCAGAACGTTTTCGTGTGACTATCATCAGTGGAACATCGTCACATAGTAAGAATTACTAAAACAACCAGTTATATAGCTAGAGTAATATGTGAGATATAGAGAATGAATGTGTGTGTGTGTGTGTGTGCATGTGTGAGATATAGAGAATGAATGTGTATGTGTGTGTGTGTGTGTGTGCGTGTGTGTGTGTGTGGGTGTGTGTGTGAGAGAGAGAGAGAGAGATTTAGAAAATGTGTGTGCGGACGCGCGTGTGAGTGTATGTGTATGTGAGAAAAGGGAGAGAGTGTGGGTGTATGTTTGTGTAGTGGTGTGGGCATGTGTGGATTTGGCATTTGTGCCCAGCTCTATTCTATATCATTCATGCCGGAACTACTGCTGCATAGGCCCAAATCTGAAGACTTGGCAACTTCACGCCTGCACCTGACTCTTGCGCTATGATACGCGTCGCCTATGACCAGATGACACCCCTCAGAATTTCCCACCTTGCTCCCCCTTATGTTCTGGCTGCCCGTTTTGGATTCATCAGTTGCCTGATGATCGTAGAAATACGTGAAACTCAGAGTTGTAACAAAGCTTCCAAACTCTCTCTTGTGTAGCTAGAGTAATATGAAAAGAAGCGTGAGAATGCAGCACAGCTAGCTAGCGGCTAGCTGTGCTGCATTCTCACGCTTCTTTTCATATTACTCTAGCTATATAACTGGTTGTTTTAGTGATTCTTACTATGTAACGATGTTCCACTGATGATAGTCACACGAAAACGTTCTGGAATTGTTTCATTTTAATGATACATGGTTATGAGTGCACAATTGATATTTTTCATTGCTATTTTACGACTGTTGTCTCCTCGTCGGTTATTTAAATAAATAAATAAACAATGTGAAGAAGTGGTTGGTGCGACTAAATAAATAAACAGGGAGGAAAACTATGATTACAGACTAAAGTATATGCTACATAATGAGCAATAAAAACAGGGCTGGGTTGTTCATAACAAAGCAATTTTATGTCCAGGGATATACCATTACAGACAAATTTAAAACTTTTCACGTGCAAGCGATATTGCTGCTGAAATTTAGAAAGTGAATCCGGCTCAAGTTGGGATGTCAGCCTTGGTGGAACTGCAGTTCCACAGCCTTCCGATTTTATGCAGAAAGAGAGAAGAAGAGATGCGGCCCGCATGATGAGAATTGAAAATCAGTTTGTTTGGTCGGCGTGCGCTAGAAGAGATATGGATGTCAAAGCGGGATAGATAATCTGGGTGCCAATGGATATTGTTATTATTATTACTTGCATGTACGCGTTGGAGTCACCCATGCAAGCATGATCCACAACTTCGCTTATGCTGAACATGATAAGCAGGACTATGACAGGGGAAAAAATGAGCTAGAACGATGATAATAATAATTATGATAACAATATCATAATTTATCACTCATCTATATCGACCTCCACTAATTCTCGTGATCCTTGACTGGTCCTATATTACCAAGAGTGGTATCTTCTCGACGGCAGAGCGCAGCGACAGAGGCGAGAAGTATTTTCTCGTCACAGCGGTTTTTTCTCGTGTTTTTTCTCACAAGTGAGCAGTCATCTGATCAATTTCTTTTTTACTCGTACATCTTCACATGTTCTCTAAACCGCTGCGCATGAGCACGACTGGCCAGTCGTCTTGAGGTAGCCTTTTCGACACCACGTTCTTTTTCGTCTTTCCAACAGACATTTTATCCAATTTTTTCTCTCACCAGCATGGCTGAGAACGCATCTGCTCCCGCTTCAGCTTCGTCCGCCACGCCAGACTGGGCAACGAACCTGACACAACTTGTCAAAGAGCAGCATGCTCTAGCAGAGAAGTCTGTCTCTGAAATGGAGGCATGCAAGAAGCAACTGGAAACTGCCACTGCGGAGTTGCATCGCCTCAAAGCAAAGCAAACAACTACTTACTCCTTTCGTAAGGAGAGCTGCAAGGAGCATCACGACTTCGTGGACCAGGTGGAGGCGAAGCTGGAGGACGCGGCCCGGACCATCCCGGATGGACCTGCCAAAACCGCCATCATGGAAGGTATGTCCTTATGCGACAAAAGGAAGAAAATTATAAAAATCGCCGACAAATATGACTGGGCCACGGCGATCCAGTACAAAGGCGAGCATGACATTGCCGACGATGACGAGGACGCGAAAAGGATCAAGAGGGCTGAGACTGAAGTGGAGAAGACCAGGCGACAGAGCCGATCAGTGAGGCCCAGTTCTAGTTTTCGTCCTCACTACGAGCCATATTCGCCGCGGAGCTCCAGGGTCCCTCCAGCTCCGCGAACCGACCAGCAGTCGTCTGCTGCCCCGTCGGCGAAAGTCGTATGCTTCGCCTGCGGAAAACCTGGCCACTGGGCCAAGCTTTGCCCAGACGCAGCCTCTGGAAACGCTAGGAGAGCTCGATGAGCCAGAGAATTATCACTTGAATCACGCGTATC